GGAGAGGAGGGAGGGAGGGAGGAAGAAACCAGGGTGGTCAGATGGAGTGGAGCGATGGTGGGATGGGATAGAGGGACAGATGGGGGAGGAATGAGAGGATGAGTGAAGGGACAGGAGAATGAAAACAGAGGAAGAGGAGGGGGGTGGTGGACACGTGGAGGATGCAGAGAGAGCGGGTGGAGGAATAACGAACAGGCAGGTCTTCTGTAACGGATGAGGCCTAATAGCAGCTGAAATGGAATCTACATTACAGGTCCTAACTGAGTGCAGTACTTCAGGGGCCGGGCCCGAAAGGAGCAAATAATAGCGGCGGCTTGAAGTGGTGCTTCAGTTTCTCTCCAGCAGACGAGGGAGATGTGTAGGGGGGAAATGAGATTGAAGGGGAAGGGGGGTACTTCAGAGAGATACTGGCCTTCTTAGTATTTTCAGGGTTGTTAGAAACATCTCAAAAGGTCAGCCTGTGCCTAGCGACCAATTTTATTGCACAGTGTTTACAGGAAGTGCAAACCGCTGGGCTGTAATTATCGAAGCTGCACCTCCAAATTGTGATGGCTATTGTTAAAGACACAAAGACATTACCATTGCTCTTGTGGCGTTCTTGAATACACCCTTTGTGGCTGTAATACAGCTAATCTCACTGATATACACCCAGACAATAGACATTTAATGAGGTCATTTTCACTGATGCACCCAGTTTATCCTACAGCATAATGCCTCGGATTGAAAAAAGGAGGAAAAATGCACCATAATGAGTTCTTTATGTGTGACATTGTTATTTACAGTCAAACATCTCAGAGGAAAATCATCAAAGTGCAAAGCAGCACAAAAGTACCGTTGGCTGATAATCATTGCCCCCCCAAGAGCTGAAGCTATTAGCAAAAACATTCAGTAGATTTGTGGTTATTTTTTCCTACAGCTGATGCAAAAATTTAAAGTGTGTGTTCAGTGTTAAATCTGACACCAAAGGACCAAGTTTTGGTCTCTGAGTGACCAGTCTTATGCAGATGATCGTAAATCTTTGAATCTAAATAAATGGACAAGTTTTCGTCACATGCAGGTGATCTTTGCGGGGCCGACCCTTGGCATAGGCGACATAGGCAGTTGCCTAGAACGTCATCGGCCGGAGGGGAACACTTCAAGGGCCCTCCCCTTTGGGTAAAAAATCTGAATAAAATTATAAAATCATTTGTGACTAACTCTTCTACTTTCTTCTACAAATAAAATCACAAAATAAAGTAACGATGTTTGTAACCTGGCAAGTCACGTCACATGATGCAGGGGCGCATCTCAGTTCAGTGAGCGAGCGAGCGAGCGAGCGAGGAATCAGAACAGGACGGGTTATTTTATTTACAATTTTTCATCATGACAAGGACAGCTCAGCCATAGTTGGAGGGAAGTAATACTTCAGAAATACGAAGCATCTGATGTGTAGCACCATTTATTCTATAATTATCATCACTATATCCTACCACGTTTATTTATTTATTTACTTTATTTCACTATATATATATATATGTATGTATTATAAATGTACTTATTATTCTATTTATTTAACCACTTTTTTTTAATTCATTTTATTTTGTTTTATTTATTATTATTATAATAAAGAGGGGACAATTCACACCCACAAACACACACTCTTCAACACACATAGAAACCCACACTCTAATCACAGCCTTGTAACACTTTCTAAATGTTTCTAAATGTTATGTGTCCCTGCTGTACTCGTCTTGTCTTGTCTCTGTTTTGTATGTACTTTAAATATGTTGTCAACCACTTAGCTAAGCTAAATGCTAATTGCTAACGCTAAATGCTAATTGCTAACGCTAAGCTACATGCCGAATTGAGCTGTGTGTGAGCCTTAGCTACATGCTAAATCACATACTTATGCTAAAAGCTAAGCTAAGTTACTGGCTAAACCAAACTTCATACTGCGATAAGCAAATCAGTTAAACTAAACTAAATACTTAAACAGGGAAGTAACAAAAGTACACATTCTAATACTATACTCTGCTAAACAACCAAGGACCAGCCACCTCGCAATCACACAAAACAAAACTCACAGCTGATGCTTTCATAAGCAACACAAGTCAGTTTGTAGCCGGGTGTCCTCGGGAGCTGGAACATGTGTAAACTGCTGAAGACAGAGGGAAGAACTTCCTACTTCCTGGTCCTATTATAGAGTTTACACTTCCTGGTTTTCCTTCAATGATTGTACTTCCTGTGTTAGAGTTTTGCTGGCCAACAGGTGGAGCCATAGCTACCCAGGACAGAACAAATAAAATGTATTGGCATGATCCTTTCAACTAAGGATTTAGGCGATTTTACCAGAGATGGCCAGCATTATCAATAATGATTTATGCCAAAAAATCATTTCCGTCAAAAAACGACTTAGGCCATTATTTTAAGAGGGTGCCGATATTACCATATTTAGTGCTGACACAAGGTTTTTATTAGCAGCAAGCTTCGCAAAGCTTCTCTACAGATGTCCCTGACCGAACCCTTACCATAAGTAGACATTTTTTTCAGTGTAAAAAAAAATACATATTTGTAAACACACCCTCAGTCGTGCACAGTTGTTAAAAATTACGAAATGACCAAACCAGCTTGTGTTCAAGGTTTTAAACATGCTTAATTATGTCGTAAATATGCGCAATACATGGGCTCAGGGTGTCCTCGGCTTTCGGAACCAGCCTCAAGTGGACACTTTAGGAACTGCAGGACTTCATAATGTCTACAATTAAATGATTCCAGCAAGTGAAATAAATGTAAAATAATGAAAAGACATTGTAGCTAGATACAAGATCTTGTCCAGGACTGGGATCAGTAACCAGGCCTGTTAAATCCCAGACAAAGCATCATTCAAAACCTGCAAATCAATCAGGTTTGGGCTTATCGGGTCTGCTACTGCTATGATCGCTCCAGATAACATTACACTTTTAGTTAAGTTGCGTCACGTTTATTAAATAAACAGTGTATGCACATTAATAACAGTGATAAAAGTATAGGAAGAAGAATTTCAGAGCACAACTTCAGTTGCCAAACACATCAAGCTAAAGTAGCTTCAGTACTTTTGACTTTCTACAGTTTTAAAGAACTTCGTGAACTCATGAGCCATCCTCCTTCTCACCCAGAGAAGCTGAGGTTAGTACAGCAAGTCCTGTTCGTTATAAATCAAGATCCAGGGTTAAAATCTGCAGGATAAAAGCGAGTTAGCTTATGATAACACAGTGAGATGTTCGAGGTCGGGTCTATAAAACGTGAATCAGGCAGAGGTAGGTGATAGAGAGAATGTTTTTTGGCTGAAAAACAATATAGAAAAGACTCAAAAGGGACTCCAATCACGGAGGAGTCTCCATGATGGTTCCAGTATTGATGAAAATTCACGACCCCCATCACTCGACGCCGGGTACCTGAGCATATCTTCACATTTATTCTCTTTGGTTGTGCTTTTACATCTCCACGACTTTACGGCGATATCGGCTGGTTGATTTGATCGACAGATGGATCGATTGATTGATTTCTGTCGAGAAATGGCGGCAGATAAATGGTTTCACGCAAAGGACTGAGGGATGAACAGACAGATGGAGGAGCAGACAGGCTGCCAGACGTGAGCAGCCAGTGATTGTTGTTCTATTGACCATGTGATTGGTCAATACGCTGTTCTCTCTGAAACACTATCTCCTACTATCAGGTTATCCCGAGCCGTCTACAAAAACAAAAAACGACCCTACGACTCACTCATTCGATACAGGCGTGTAGCAACATCCTCACAGTCGATACACGGCTTTTGCACATATATGTACGTCTCGCGTGTGTTCGAAGATGAAAACCTGGTTCAGTTCAACCTCTCCTTCTCTTCCAAACAGCAATATTTCGGTCCAACGTCTGCGCAGAGGTGCACAGCTTCACTTACTCTTTTCCTTGCATCGCTCTGTTTTGTGGGAGTGTGTGTATACGCGTGTGCGTGCGTGCGTGCGTGTGTGTGCTTTCGCTGCTGTCAGTCCACTTAAGGGCCTTTGGTTTCAGAGGAGGCCATTGTGTTTTCCTCCATCGCCTAGCAACCATCACCAAGGCCAGCACTCCATTGTTGCGGAGGCTGAGCACCTGAATTGCCTGCTGCCTGTTTCTACTTTTCAAAATTGTACTGTAATTTCACAAAGTGGTGTTTCAGCATTAGAGAGAGAGAGAGAGAGAGAGAGAGAGGGACGGCCGTGTTTTTAAAATTGGAGGGCTATGAAAATTGGGGGGGAAGCTTCATTCGGCCGCAGGAGTCGGACATATTTGCAAAAGACACACAAACAACGCAGACGTAAAGATGGTCAGAGCGTCGTTAGCGTTCGGGGGGGAAGAGAAAACAAACACTGAGTCATCTATATTGAGCGGCGCGGTCGAGCTATACGTGTTTGTGAGTGAGTGATGAACAGGGTTTACATTAGATGTGTTGAAATGTACTTTAGAGACTGATAAAGAGAGATAGAAACCCACAAAGACAGGTGGACAAAGAGAAGGAGAGAGAGAGGGAGAGAGAGAGAGAGAGAGAGAGTTGGAGAAAATGGGAAAAATATGAAAAGAGCAACATGTAGTGGGGCGGGACTTGAGTGCTGAAAAGGTTTGTGGGCTAGATTTTTCTCAGTGACGTCACTTTTTACACAGTTTCCTTGAATAGCACCTGTGTGCATGGGGGCTGTCTGTCCGTCAGCCCTGAGTAAAAACATAACCCGTGCCAGCAAAAAACATATCTATCAGTGTTCCTCAGTGGCCAATGGAGACAGATCCGTCCGTTTTTTTCCCCAAACATCGACTCCGGTGTCCGTAAAGCTAGGTGCTACAGATTTGGCCCCCCTCACATCATCTCTTTTTTTTTTTTCTAAAACCCAAAGACTTCAGCATCTTCATTTTCTCAACGTATGTTTTTAAGCACCCTTCTTGTGAATTCAAGTGATTTTTTCTTCTACAAAGACTGCGCTCACTCTTTGTGCCGTGAAAATTGGTCTTTTTGTGCGCCTGCAATCACCGCCCTTGTGGATGACCCCAGGTGCCTGATTCAGAAATGGTGAGTAACAACAATTTAATCTTCAGATAAATCAATGTGTCCATCACTACTCCGTATGCCTCTGTATTTGTTTGCACTGATTCATTATGAAAATCTCTGTTTTGAGCGTTTTGCCTCCTGTTTTTCCTCTCCTTATGCGCTTGTCTTCTCTAAACATCTTGAGTGTCTTTCCATTTTCCTGTGATTTTTCTTCTCATTTTTCTCTTTTCACCGCAGCATTAATCATCAAACTTCACAGAGATGCTAAAAAATCCTTTTTTACTTCTTGTTCCATTTAAAAACATTAAAACTGAACAGATTCTTCTTAAAATTAACACACAAATAGATGCATACCTTTGACTTCTTTCATGCACACCACTCTGATATCCTGTAGATGCGTGAACACACAAATACAAGCAACGGCATGCACACACTCACATGCATATCAGGTTTCATTGTGTCAATACAGCCCGCACACACACACACACTCACACACAAATACACACACACACACTCGTGCAAACAGGGTTGTCTGTGCAGAAGGTCCGGTGAAATGGCAGCACTGTTGGCCGACACGCTCTCCAGTGTCGGTAAATACTCACGTCTTCTTCTGCATCCGTGTTCAGGAGGGAGCTGCTTTAGCACCAGGATGAATTTTCAGCTAAATGTTGCAAAAAAATGTCCTTTTTCTCTTTAGGGTGTATCTGCAAAGACTGAAAACAGTTTGAGTTTGAAAGAAAAGGCAGAAAATGTGTCACATCTGCAGGAATCAGAAAAATTCACACTGTCACACGATGAACCGTGCTTTAAATATAATGTCATGTTTTTAGGATTTGTAGATCTGTGATAAATCAAAATGATGTGACGTAGGTTAACAACTAAATGGAAATACCTTAACGGATAAAAAAGGAGTGCTTAATGTGTGTCTCTAATCTGCTCAGTGTAATAGGTGTCCATCACTGAAGCATTAACAAAATGGCAAAGTGCCAGAGAGAAACAACTGAGTGTACGTTTCCCCTCAAAAGCTGACTTCACATGTCCGAAACGCCGTCATTATTAATGTTAAATTATTGATCAGGATCGATGCTGCAGGAGAACTTACCTGGAACATGTGGACTTATTGGTAATGTGGAAACGAGGGGAGTGCATGTGTGTGGGAGAAATGATGGATTGGTGCAGCAGCAGCAGCAGGTTTCAGCTGAGCTCAGAGGAGAAAAATACAAGATGTGTCATTTTCAGGTGGAAAAAATGTTTATTTCGCTTCTTTTCTGATTGAATCTGATGAGAATTTAAAGAAAATGTGTTCGAGGTTCACTTCAGCAGCTGTCTGTACGAAGTTATCCTGCTGAATTTTTCATTTTTTAAAATCAGAATCAGATTTATGGGCAAAGTAAGTGTGCACATACAAGGAAACTGTCATCTCTGCACATGAAATATGATACACACACGAGCCTACGTTTGACGTTTAACACTTCACTAATATGCACAAGACTTTAAAACGATATATAAGTCTATTTCTTTTAAATAAGGGCTGAAACCAGCTTGTTCTAACAAATCTGCTGGTTAAATCACTGCCTCTATAAAAGGTCGATATCAGTTTGAAATCTTTCAATACGCGAGAGCTCAAGGAGACATCGAGTTACGTAAAACCAAAACCAGAACGATCAAACGTTTCATAAAAATACCAAATTTAAAAATCCAGAAAGATGCACATTTTTAATTTTGACAATTCAGGGACATTAAAAAACATGAATCCCCTAAAAAATTTGCAGTTTAAGTTTCTTTTCTTTATTTTGTCCCTGCAGGTCTTTGTTAAACGGCGATATTTCACATTATTAACAGACTCAAAGGAGTTTAGACTTCATTTCATCTGCTCACTCCTCCTCATCAGTTACATGCTGACAGCTGAACCTAAAATCACACCAGAGTGACTCGATGAGAGCTCATCAGTGTGTGTTTCTCTCTCTCTGTTCCTGCACACAGGGTCGTCTCCTTGGGCCTTGGATCACACAGTTTGTCCTGGCAGATCAACACAGACACCGACCTCTGACCCTGCATCCAGCCTCACTATCTTCGTCTCGTCCTTTCTCAAGAACATCTGGATCCCAAACGCTGATTCCAGACCTTCTTAGTTTGCACAAAACTGATTCAAGGTAAAAAACAAAAGGAAATGTGTGAACTTGTGTCGTCCGTGCTCAAATATTCAGCTGCTGCAAATACAGAAGCAACAGGATGAGTTTACGACCCCTGTTTCCAAAAATAACGAGGGAGTCCTGCACAGATTATTGAGGTAATTGAGATAATAACTCCAGCAGGGGGACTTGTCTTTAAATGCGTTTCTCTCCACCATGACCTGAGCTGATTGTTTGTTGACAGGCTGCCAACACGCTCATTTAATCTCCACCAGCTCGAGGAGAAGGCCGCTCAGGACGGCCTGTTCTGCTGCGACTCACGTACACACAGACCCCGGCCTTCAGCTGGGAGACACGAGAGCTGAGGACACGCTGAGTTTCGACAGAGGGGGTGCGCAGGACTTAAAAGAAAGCTCTTTCAGCCCTCAGGACTCAGATCAGACGTCAGCTCAAGGAGGCCACCTTGAGTACATCCGGGAACACGTCAGGGAGCAGGAAAGACGAAGATGAGATAGTAAGAAGAAAGATGAAAAGAAGCTTCGAGAGCAAATATCTCAAAGTTTGGGTGTTTCCAAAAGCTTGACTGTTTCTCGTTTTTTTTGCGTTTAATATTAAAACAAGAATTTCAGGAAGTATTTTTAAGACAAAGTGAGTTTTATCTCCTAAATTTGAGTCCATAGCAGCGTGGAAGACTAGTGATTTTGTTGTTTTTGTGGTCAAACTGACAACAAGTCATTGTCTCCCGCATTGCTTTGAGACACGAGCGAGAAGTAAATCTGCAGCTTTTACACGATAAAATCCTCCTTTTATGAAAATGAAGAGCAACTATAGGAAATATAAAAGAGCAGCGATTACACCCTGATGTTTAAGTATTGTGCCCGGCAGGCTGAACTGGGTCAAATCTTCATTAATCCCAACAGGGGATGGGGTGTGATTTTAGCGAAAAGACTTCTTTTATAAGAGTAATCATTCCAACCTTTTTTACGCTGCAGCTCACAGTTAAAACCTCAACTTGAAAATCACAGATTCAATCCCCCATGTGTTTGAAAATAATTACAACAATCCACTTCATCGCCAGAATGTGGCTGTGTTAAAACAGCAAAGAAATAATGCAGATGTTTCAGGTCTTTTTTTTTTTTTGGTGCTTTTTGACGTTTAATTAAAAAATGTCGGATGAAGGAGCAGGAGGAGTCGAACCTGCGACCACATGGATTACGGCCTCTGAACACGGGGGGTGTACTTTAATTTTTTTGTAGTTTGATGGCAGATTTTTCCTCTTTTAGTCTTTTAGTCGTTGGTGTTTCTTTCTCACTTGTGAGGCAGCAAACATAAAAAAGAAAGAGGTGGAACCGAAGAAGGAAGAAACACACATTTTCTGGGGTAATTCGCCAAAAGGAATGAACTGAAAAAAAACAGGACTACCTTTAAATCTTTTTAAAATGGTTTTTCATACTGTGTTTTAAAGATGAATATAAATAACTGTGTTTTTCTGCTTTTGTGCACGCTGCTGCCATGAACAGAGGAGTGTGTTTTTGTTGTTTCTTAAACACAGACTGTTTCTTTTTATTTTCCCATAATTACGATTGTTTTGTTCTTGCTGAAGTCAGAGCTGAACGCCTCGATACAGTCACAGATGGGTCCTAGTTATCATTCTGAATGTGCATTAAAATGATTATGAGCCGGAAGTCCACAGATCCATAAATTCAGTCTAATTTCATCATCAGCTGTGAGCCGAATCGACAGCCTGCTTCAGAATATTGAACCATAAATGATGGAAAACATGGCGGACTCAAAGGTTAGAGGTAATGCCGGTATCGATTCCCACTGCTTCTGCTTCAATTTGTTTTATTTATACTTTATGACTTGACCTTTGGCTTTTGATTGATTCACCTTTGTGCTAAGTATTCAAATAAATGCAGCTGTGTCAAAATAAAGAATGAATCAGTTCATAATGACGACTTTTCAAACTCCTTTATTGATGAAATTTGATCTCAGAGTGACGCTAGCACTGCACCATCAGGAGTTACTGGGGGGGCATCAGGGCCTTGGTCTGCTCCATGACCTGCTTGAAGAACTTCTCCATCATGTCGGTGAGGGGTTTGACCTGCTCCTGGAAGTTGTCAGTGAGGGGTTTGACCTGAGCGTTAAAGTTGTCGGTCAGCGGCTTCATCTGCTCCTCGATGTTGGCGATGTAGGGTCTGACCTGCTCCTGCAGCTTGGTGGCCTCAGCCTGGAACTTTTCAACCAGGGGCTGGATCTTGGTCTTGCCGTCCTCCATGTAAGTCCTGTGGAAGGATGAGGAGGTGAAAACATCTCTTTAATGACTGCTGCTGATCCTGACGGGAATTTCCATGAAGAAAAAACGATCTGACGACCCTTTTTGATGGTGAACTGCTGAGAGTGTCGTTCATGGCTCGTAACGGTGAGTTTTATCCCTAAATCAACCTTTAGCTGCATGTTTGACCAGCTTCATATACTTTTCATCCGGACACATCTGTTGCTTCGAAAGCGACTCCCACAGTGACACACAAGCACGTTTAGGGCCTTCGCAAACTGGCGCCTTGTTTCCACTCACAACAAACTAAATCAGCAAGAGATCCTTCATTTTCACCCGTGCCTGCAAAACTGTCTGGTGTAATACTTGTTAAAATCTAGTTTTAGCACATTATGAACCTGAGATTATTCAACCAAGACTGTCTTTCTCGTTTTGACATTAAATCCAGTCAGATCCAGAAAATGACGCTCTCCTTCAGAGCTACAGATAGATTTGACGGTTTTTATCTATCTGTAAAGAAATGTGTCACCTTTTTAACAGATTTACAGACAGACAACAGTGAGCACACAGTAATACCATGGGTTTGTAGTAGGAAAAAGAAATAAGGGAGAAGAAGAAGGAGCAGCTGCCAGCGAGCTAGCTGTAGCAGCATTTCAGCTATACTTTCTAAAAGTCCTTTTCACTGTTTCGACTCAATGCAGTAATTTAGGATAAACCAAAGGTAGTCTACTTCAAAATAAAAGTAATGACAAAGAATCATATCGTCCCTGAAGAGGTTTTAGTTCCACAGCCAGTGATGTGGATAATAATAATGATAAACTTTGTGGGACTTACTGAGCAGTGTTGGTGACCTCCAGAGCCTTCACCTTCTCCACCATGTCCTGGGTGGCGGCGGTGAGGCCGGCGGACATGTCGTTGATGATCTTGGTGATCTTTTCCAAGTCAGCCTGGGCGTCACGTTTCACCAAGGACCCGGCCTCAGCGCCTGAGGAAAGAGGAAAGTTTGTGTTGTGCAGGTTTTTGGTTTTTTCTTCATGCCATCTTAAAGTTAGATTCATTTCTCTTACCGTGGGCGACGGCCAGCACGAAGACAAGAGCGGCAACGAGGGAGGATTTCATGGCTGCAGATGAGCGAGTCTGATCTGGAAAGTGTCAAAAAACAAGAATTACAAACAACAGATGTAAGTCACACAGAGGTCAATGAAACACCATGTAAAGCAGGCAGAGACATACCTTAGCTCCTGGGGTTCTTGGACCAAACGGTGTCTTCTGTCAGAGAGTGACAGGCTTTTATATCCCCACAGGATGAATGAATCATGGCCGGTCAGGACAAAATCACCTCCAACATGAATGATTTATCTGATGTGATGAGAACAATCCCTGTGTTGGCTGACCCTTGATGCTTGATCACTGTCACAAGAGGACACAAAGTCCACTATTTGTGTTTGTGTGTCACTGATTCACTCACTGTCACTGATTATCTCCAGACCTGATGTGAGGAACTTTAAGTCTGTGCTGATTGTATCGTCCTGTGGACAAAGCAGCGCGTCTTATCTCAGCTGATACTGTTCAGATGAGGGAAATCTCGTCCTGCTTAAACACTCACTGTGAATGCTGTGGAAAATGTCAGAGTCAGCATCTTCACTTCTTTTACATCTATTCCTAAGCATTAGCTGGAGATGTTAAAAATGCTCTTGTTGCTCTTGTTTGCAGTCAATTTGAACTTCATTGCTGATTAAAGCTTTAGTTTGAGTAACGGTCCTTTTTGGGTGCTTCATACCATGACCCTGATGCTCAGCTACTCAGACATTTTATAACACACTATAAATCAAATCAAAAATACAGCTGGAATACAATTAACAGTTCGTGAAAAAAGGAAACCAAATCACTGTTATTTTATCTTTCTCTCTTTTTTTTGTGTTATAAAACCAAAAACAGGATAAGCATTTTACCGTCTGAATTGAATACATCAAAATGAAAGCACCTTTGGCCTTTTCTTTTTTATCTTTTGCCTTTCGTTTCTTTCTTTTCTTCCTTTCGAATTGAAGACTGAAAAGGTCTCCTGGTTTTGTTTTTAAGGATTTGAGCCAAAAATAAGTCACAGTAACTTAAAGTAACAGTCCTATGGGAGGAGAACGGACTAACACTTATTAAACTATTTCACTATAACATGTAAACTCAAATATTTATTTTTGGACATCTGCCTTCAATCAATGTTGATAAAAACATTTTATTTTGTAATGAATAAAGACAGAAACTGATCTCAGTTGATCGTATTCAGTGGGATTGAGGTAATTAAATATGAAATCTCAATATCCATGTGAGCAAAATAATGGAGCCAATACTGAATACAGTCTCTATCTATCTATCTATCTATCTATCTATCTATCTATCTATCTATCTATCTATCTTTTTTCTTTCTTGATATTTTCAGTAACTTGTGTTTTAACCTGTATAAACCTGGTTTGAGTGAGGGTAAGCAGCTAAGTAATATAATGGTGATATCATCCATGTTTACATCACTTCTGTGTGTATAAGTGTAACAGATTTTCGATAAAAATTCAACACAAATATCTCTTTTGTATTTTCATTGTTATTCTTGGCACAGATTTTTGTGTTTTATGAGTAACTTTGCCAAAATCCTTCATTAATTGTCGTTGTTGTAGTAGGAAGGCGAATGCAGCACCGATGGTAGTATGGCGCCCTCTGCTGGACTCCTGCAGAACTGACGGCTTGCCCCTGTGCCAGGCTACTGTGCTAAGAGGACTCATTATGAGCTTCGATGAAACACATAAACTAAGTTGTTTTTCACGGTAAAAACTCATTTTATTTATGTAACATATTAAAGAGAATATCCATGTTTGTTTTTGAACACTTTTGTGATGTTGTTGCTTTGTTGTGGATTGATTTTGGCTTCATCACGTACTTTGGTTAAGCTAGCTAAAACGGTGTTATTTGATGATGAATGATGTAGCCTGCTAGCCTAACAGTTTAATGTCTGTTTTCTGTCTTTTAGGAGGTGCTGGAGCTGTGAGGAGAGGCTGTTAGAGACATGATATTCTTCTGTTATTTCAGGTACAAATAAACTTTTATTAATGTAGACTTATCATAGCCAGTCTGCAGTACCCTGTTAACATCTAACTACTGGTGCTTTTACTACATCCACTCGTGGATAAAACTGTTGGTACCCTCCGGTTAATGAAAGAAAAACTCCCAATGGTCACAGAAATAACTTGAATCTGACAAAAGTAATAATTAATAAAAAAAATCTATGAAAATAAACCAATAAAAGTCAGACTTTGCTTTTTAACCATGCTTCAACAGAGTTATTTGAAAAATATAAACTCATGAAACAGCCCGGACGAAAATGATGGTACCCTTAAAGGTGGGGTAGGCAGGATTTTATTTAAGAAGCATCTTTTTTTGTGTTTTACATACAAAAAAACTTTTAATATCAGTAAAGCTATTAGTTATTGATAACATTAGGGAATATAATGATATCTCTGTGTTTTGTTCTGTCTGTGTAGTCAACATTTAAAGTTTTTTGAGCGGCCCGCTCTTTCTGACTGTAAACAAAGCCGTTCTCCACCTCCCGACCTGATTGGTTGTGAGGCAGACGCTGCTCCCTCGTGTCGCTCACGTGCCCAAACAAAGTTAGCATGCTACAATATCGGACAGTAGAAACCAACCAGAAAGTACGGAAAATTGTCTGAATCCTCCTTTGGCCACGACTGCCGACACAAGCAAGAAAACAAAGTAAATACCGGAGACTCTGGCGGAATAATGGACGCTTAATAAGGAGGTAGATCACCCTTACAGACCCTGTTATCTTTCTGCTGGACAGGTAAACCGCTTTAACAAAGTAAGCCAAGTGTCTGTAACAGAAGTGTTTCTTGTCAAACGGACCTGCTGTAGCGTGTTGTAGCGCCATCGCTAAACTGTTGACCTCGGGTCCTGGACTATGTCACTTTATCCTAGTTGTAGAAGTCCTGCAAACATTGTGTTTGCTGGTAGTCTGTTGGCATCTACAGTAGCACCAATGCTTTTTACTTTCAACTTGGCTGGGCCCCATTTGTAATTTATCTGCATTATATCTGAATTAAATTGAAATGATACAAGCGAGTAGGAGCATCTGTTTGTGGGCTGGGATGGCTGGAGCTGAGAGGGAGGGGAGAAGAGGAGCTGAGGGGAAAACTGGTTGGGAGGGGTAGTGCTTACATTCAAGATTTCTCCCAAAAACTGGCACTTCCTAAGATCCCGCCTACCCCACCTTTAACATAATATTATGTTGCACAACCTTTTGAGGCAATCACTGCAATCAAACGATTCCTGTAACTGTCAATGAGACTTCTGCACCTCTCAGCAGGTATTTGGGCCCACTCCTCATGAGCAAACCACTCCACTTGTCTCAGGTTTGAAGGGTGCCTTTTCCAGGCAGCATGTTTCAGCTCCTTCCAAAGATGCTCAAAAGGACTTAGGTCAGGGCTCATAGAAGGCCACTTTGGAATAGTCCAATGTTTTCCTCTTAGCCATTCTTGGGTGTTTTTAGCTGTGTGTTTCGGGTCATTATCCTGTTGCAAGACCCACGACCTGCGACTGAGACCAAGCTTTCTGACACTGGCCAGCACATTTCTCTTGAGAATCCCTTGACAGTCTTGAGATTTCATTGTACTCTGCACAGATTCAAGACACCCTGTGCCAGATGCAGCAAAGCAGCCCTAGAACATAACAGAGGCACCTCCATATTTCACAGTAGGGACAGTGTTCTTTTCTTGATATGCTTCCTTTTTTCAGTCTGTAAACATAGAGCTGATGTGCCTTGGCAAAAAGTTCAATTTTTGTCTCATCTGACTATAGGACATTCTCCCAGAAGCTTTGTTGCTTGTCAAGGTTGGCTATAGCCTTTTCCTTTAACATGCTTGTCGATAGATTTCTTTTTAATCACCTGCGATAACTCTTTCCTTCGCTTCCTCTGGTCCATGTTGAGTGTGGTACACACCATGTCACCAAACAGCACAGTGACTACCTTTAGCCCTATATTTAGGCCCACTGACTGATTACAAGATTGTAGACACCTGTGATGCTCATTAGTGGACACACCTTGAATTAACATGTCCCTTCGGTCACATTATTTTCAGTCTTTTCTAGGGGTGCCATAATTTTTGTCCAGACCTGTTTAATGAGTTTTTTTTTTTTTTTTATAATTCTGTTAAACCACATTTCAAAATCAATGTTCACTCGTTCATTTGCATAAATGTTTTATTTATTATTACTTTTGTCAGATTCAAGTTATTTCCGTGACCATTGTGGGTTTTCTTCCATTAACCGTGGGGTACCAATTTTGTCCACCTGTGTAGGTGGCCACACCATAATGGGCTTCATCTCTTAGGCTGAGGCAGAAAAGACAGATCAAATCAAACATAAATGAGTGTGAGATTGAAACCCATATTTTATTTGTTATTTTTCATGTGGACAATCAAACTTATACAGCAGCGATAAGTTTGTAAAAAACATGCAACATGGGCTGAAGTTAGGTTGAGGAAGAAGCTTTCAAGCCTAATCCAGGACAGAGCCGTAGACCTCCACCTCACACAGAGTCAGGTACTCTTCCTTTCCAGGGATAACTACGTTAACAAAGCGACCGTCCATGCCATTACACTGGAATTCAACAGTAGCACCAGCTGAGACATTAATCACAGCACACCTGAAAAATGAAAAAGTCAAAGTCAGACATAAGTCAACACACTGATACATATGCCATTACTATGTCTGTTACTCTTGTTCGGGGTACCTACAATATGGCCTATCCTATGTTTTTTGACACATTTAGATTTTTATTAGAATATTTTTGGAAATAACAAATTCAGCTTCACAACTCTGACCTCTTTGATTTGACATCACTTAAGCATTTAGCACTAAAACTTTTCCTCCTTTGGCATGAACATGTAAACTCGTTCAGTGACTTTTCTCATACAGGGTGGTTTAAGTTAACATACACAGAATATTACCTTGGATTGTTGTTGCCGTTGTTTTCCAGTGAGTCCCCGATGCGAAGCTCGGCTCCATTCAGACGTGTTGAGGCCTCAGGATTTTGGCGGTTTGTAATCTTAACAGAAAACACTTTGTGGGTTTTAATCAGATCCAAACGCCACCAGGGGGCGAAGTTGTTGTTTGTGTGACTGCAGGACTTGTGACTCCAAAGGCTGTCATTATTTCCGTCTATTGCAAAGGACGCCATGCCGTCTTGATACATTGTTGACTGTGAGGCTTTTCCTTTGAGAGCAAGGTTCTCTCCTGAAAAAAAAAACGGATATATAATGTTGTAACTTGAACTTGTGTGGTTTCTCACCCACCATAAAGTCACAACAGTGATTTTTGAACCAGTCCAAGGCTGAGCCAGAAAAACCCACCCACTAAAATAAGTAAAATACAATGATTCACAGTGTCTAAAGCTGTGCTGAGATCCAATAAAACGACCACAGAACATTTTCCTTCATCACTGCTAAGCAAAAGGTCGTTAAAAACTGTAAGATGTGCTAATTCTGTGAAATGAGATTAAAGAAAACCAGATTGGAATTTGTCCAGGATGTTATGAGTGTCAAGGCAGCTGTAAATTGAGTTGATCAGCATTGACAAAAATCTCACTCACCGGTTGGTGCAAGGTACCCAAAGACCTCCACTTCACAGAGTGTCAGATATTTGTCAGTACCAGGAATGACGATTGTCACATAACGTCCAGCCATTTTATCTTCCGGAGTCAGAGTGAGTGAGCTCCCTGCAGCAATCTTTTCAATGACAGCAGCCCTGGAAGAGACACAGAAACTCTAGTGGTCAGTGTTTTACTAATGCAGTGCAGGACAGTACAGGATAGCACTGATGTTGCAGATGCCAAATCTGTGAATTAGAAAAATAAAATACACTGTAGTGTTGGGTTTGTTGTAGCGTTAATAACACTCACACTGGGTTTATAACACCGTTATCTTGTAGAGAGTCACCAATGTGGACCTCAGCCCCATTGATCCTCTCTTCACAGCAGTCTCCTCTGTTGGTGATGACGATGGAGGTGATGATGTAGCGGTCCAGCAGGTCCAACCTCCACCAGGGGTTGGTCATTTGTGCAGTGTGGGTGCATGAACCGGCTGAGAAGGTCGCGTCACGGTTTCCATCGATGGCAGCGTAGGCACTCCCAAAGCTGTGGTCATAGCGGTGGGACTGTGTTGCTTTGCCACGCAGGGCTACATTTTCTGTTACGGAAATATAACGTTTATCTAAACTCAGTGTGTCTAATATAGATTATTTACAGTTTTTTCACATGCCACATGTTATTATGAAGTATATCTCACATAATATACATTTTACAGGGTTTATAGCTTCTGGAGGAAAAAGATTTCAGTGGCCCCTTTTTGGTTTAATAGTGACTAGTATGCTCAAATATGAACTTTTGCCAGCTGAAGGTAAATGGTTCATTATTTCAGCTGTTTATCTTACATGAAGAAAAAGACAATCAAAATCCTGACACGTACAAACTTGCTGCTGATAAAAACATGAATTCAGATGTTGGCGTCCATACTTACTGAAAGTGTAAGCAGAGCAGATTCCCAAGAGGGGCAGCAACAAAACTACAATATTGCGCTTCATTGCTCTGCCTGAGACAGAAAAGACAAAAGATTAAACGACTACAAAATAAAACAGGAAGTACTAAAAAACTGATCTAAAGAAAAAAACACAGAACAGGAGGGAAATGGGATGAAACACAAACTGAAAACTCACAAGACTGGATCACAGGGGAACAGGAGCACAAGGGAAAATACACAGAAAATACAGTCAAAACACAAAACCAGGGAAAAATTAAATCAACAGAACATATCATGACAATTTGCAGTTTTAAATCATGAGAAAAATACAAAATGAAATGTTTACCCTGACTCTGGAAGCAAAATGAAATGCTGGTCCAAAAGCACTGCTGCTGTGCTGATCAGATTTTAGTATTTCTTTATATACCCTTTAGACCAAGCTGTTTATCCAGTCACAGTACATCATGGAGTCCACTCCCATTACCACAAATCACAGTGCTCCTCATGCCATCTGGTTCGAAGGGGTCAAAGTTCATGTGATGCCAAGTCTTGGGTTTCCTGACAGCGACGTGACTGTACTGATCCAACAGAACCTCCTGAGAAAAAAAGACTTTATTTAAACACTTTCACAGAGGCAGTAAAGCAAACACCTGACTTCAGCCGAGGCAACATAACTGTTTGCATAGATTTTCCGGGCTCTATTACTAGAGTTCATCTAAGTTTTTTCATTGATCGAGAGTAAATAATTTCCTAGATTTGTCAAAATCTCATGCAATAGGGTGTGCAAAAAAAAGTGTAAACTTTCTCTGTACTTTTGATCTCTACACCCCCACACATATGTGCCCAGAGATGGTGTAACTCTTAACTCATAACTGCCACGAGAAGTTGTGTTGTCCAGATATTGAACAGTTGGATGCTGCCCTTCAGCGATATTATGTTCCAAGCATAAACTGTATATAGAATGAACACCGTCTGCCCCCTCTCTGGGTGAAGCCACTGCGAGAACAGCACCCTTCGTTGACAGACTGCCATATAGGTCATAAATCTCACCTTGAAAATTAATTACACGGAATATACATTTTTATCCCTAACGAATGCGTACAACGTCACTGGCCAAAAGACTGTCTGACTGCGGCTGTAAAGGAAGAAGCTAAGAACCCCAAACGTCTTTCTGCCCCTTGGTGGCCAAACATTGTCTGAGTCCAGCTTTGAATATGCTCTTAACTATCTCCCTTTAACTTTCATGGTGGCTGTAAGGAAAGAAGCGAAGAACCCCAAGTGGCTTCATGTTAAGTCTTTCTGCCCCCTGGTGGTCAAAACATGAGATTGCAGGGGAAAAAAACTTGATTCAAACAAATGCAAAACTTAAAGTAGCCAAGATAAGATTTGAGAGGTCCTAAACACATAACCCGAGCTTAAAATAAGATTGGTTAACATCTATTAAACATCTCAGACTGGAAGCTTTTAGGATTTTTTTCAGTTTTTTTCCGGTGATCAAAAATTGTCTAAATGCAGCTTTAACAGCTGTTGATGTCTCTAAAGATGACTATCGCTGTGTCCGAAATGAATCACTCAATCCCTAACCCCTAACCCCCATATGGGGTTTCACTATATAGTTGGCTATGTAGTGAACTTAATCACCGGAGGTTTCAGATTCTACATGGCAAGATGCAATGCATGACGGGATTCCCACCACTGGTGAGTGACCATCGGATGGTCACTACATTTTGCAATGCTTTATGGGAAATTTTGAGTCGCCTATATCGGGCGCTGGAATTGATCACTCAGGTTTCAAACACCCCTCAAAATGGCGCTAACCCCTATATAGTCACCTATATAGGGGTTAGGGATCCATTTCGGACACAGACGATATGATTAAAATGTAAGTTTCAGGTGCGATTCAAGCACAGCAGAGTAAAGGAGATGAACTAAAACAAAGTCCAGATGACTGCTTCTCTGAGCTTTTCTGCCCCCTGGTGGTAGAAGCAGGGACTGTTTGAGTTATCAAACTGTTGCTACTCTCTCTAATGATGACAAACTAGGAATTAAAGTTATTAAAAGAGCACACGGCTGCAGTATAGAATGACCTAATCCAGTCTGGAGCCGTAGACTTCCACCTCACAAAGAGCCAGGTACGACGTTCTTCCAGGAATAACTAAGTTTACGATGCCAAGTCTTGGATTTCCCGATAGCGACGTGACTGTACTGATCAAAACACCTTCACAGAGGCAGTAAAACAAACACCTGACTTCAGCTGAGACAACAGAACTGTTTACCCAGATGTTCTTGGCTCTATTACTAGAGTTCATCGAAGTTTTTTCATTGATCGAGAGTAAATTATTTCCTAGATTTGTCAAAATCTCACGCAATAGGGTGTGGAAAATAAAGAGTAAACTTTCTCTGTACTTTTGATCTCTACACCCCCACACATATGTTTCTAGAGATGGTGTAACTCTTAACTCATAACTGCCACGAGAAGTTGTGTTGACCAGATATTGAACAGTTAGATGCTGCCCTTCAGCGATATTATGTTCCAAGCATAAACTTTATATAGAATAGACGCTGTCTGCCTCCTCTCTGGGTGAAGCTGCCACGAGAACAGCACCCTTCGGTGACAGACTGCCATATAGGTCATAAATCTCGCCTTGAGAATTAATTACACGGAATATACATTTTTATTCCTGACGAATGCGTACAACGTCACTGCACAAGTGGTGGTTCCAGGAAGTGGAGAAAATCCCACAATTATCGAGAACAATTTGGCTTTGGAAATTCATTTTCACAGACACAGGCTGATGATTTTGAATGCTGTGTGGGTGACCTTGGTGAGTTTATTTCTGTTAGTGATGGACCGCATGTTAAAGTAACAGGGGGAGCAGTACAGAAGTATGGGTTGAATGATGGTGGTGTATAACAGTAGGAGTAGTTTTGGTTTGACAGACAGGGAACGGAGCTTGCGGAGGATGTGGAGTCTTTGCTGGGAACGTTTATGGATATCGGTGACATGTTGTTCGAAAGTGAGTTAATGTCAAGTGTGAGTCCAAGATATTTGAAGTTATCAACACGTTTAACTGCTGTGTTGTGTATGGTAGTGAGTGCCAGGTCCGGGGTGTGTGATTGTGTGTGTATGAGTAGTTGTTTTGTCTTGTCCACATTCAGCTCCAGAGAGTTGTCAGAGCACCACTTGGTGAAGTGGGTGACAGACTGGTGGTAAGAAGTTACAGAGTTATTGTCCTTGAGGAGAGCAAGAATGGCAGTTTCAACTGAATATTTGAAGTATGTGGTGACAGGTGAGGGGCTGGTGCAGTCATTGGTGTAGAGGGTGTACAGAAATGGACTGAGAACACACCCCTGGGAGGCGCTGGTGTTGGTGATTCTGGTGGATGAACCGATTCTAACAGCCTGTGGTCTGTTACTGAGGAAGTTGTGGATCCATCGGATGAGGAGTGGAGACAGGTTGAGGGTTTGGAGCTTCCTGAGCATCTGGTGCCGCTGTATAGTATTGAATGCTGAGCTGAAGTCAATGAAGAGGATTGTTGCAAAGGTGCCAGGTGATTCGAGATGGTGCAGGAGGGGGTGGAGGAGACATGCGACTGCATCCTCTGTTCCCCGTTTTGTCCTGTATGCAAACTGGTATGGTATCTTTTTTTTGTGGCATTCTATTGAACTGTGTGTGTGTGTGTGTGTGTGTGTGTGTGTGTGTGTGTGTGTGTGTGTGTGTCTTCATGTGAGTGCGTGCGTGCGCATGTACAAGTTTAGGTGTGCATGCAATGAAGTTCTCTACTGGCACTTACACTCTTAAATTGATTTCTAATTGATTTTAACTTTTATTTTTAACTATATATATCTGTTGTGAGGCACATTGAGTCTGCCTTGTGCGTGAAATCTATCTATCTATCTATCTATCTATCTATCTATCTATCTATCTATCTATCTATCTATCTATCTATCTATCTATCTATTTTCTTGCTAAATATTTTCAGTAACTTGTGTTTTAACCTGTATAACCTGGTTTGAGTGAGGGTAAGCAGCTAAGTAATATAATGGTGATATCATCCATGTTTACATCACTTCTGTGTGTATAAATATAACAGATTTTCGATAAAAATTCAACACAAATATCTCTTTTGTATTTTCATTGTTATTCTTGGCACAGATTTTTGTGTTTTATGAGTAACTTTGCCAAAATCCTTCATTAATTGTCGTTGTTGTACTGAGTATTGGGAATGCAGCACCGATGGTAGTATGGCGCCCTCTGCTGGACTCCTGCAGAACTGACGGCTTGCCCCTGTGCCAGGCTACTGTGCTAAGAGGACTCATTATGAGCTTCGATGAAACACATAAACTAAGTTCTTTTTCACGGTAAAAACTCCTTTTATTTATGTAACATATTAAAGAGAATATCCATGTTTGTTTTTGAACACTTTTGTGATGTTGTTGCTTTGTTGTGGATTGATTTTGGCTTCATCACGTACTTTGGTTAAGCTAGCTAAAACGGTGTTGATTTGATGATGAATGATGTAGCCTGCTAACCTAACAGTTTAATGTCTGTTTTCTGTCTTTTAGGAGGTGCTGGAGCTGTGAGGAGAGGCTGTTAGAGACATGATATTCTTCTGTTATTTCAGGTACAAATAAACTTTTATTAATGTAGACTTATCATAGCCAGTCTGCAGTACCCTGTTAACATCTAACTACTGGTGCTTTTACTACATCCACTCGTGGATAAAATTGTTGGTACCCTCCGGTTAATGAAAGAAAAACTCCCAATGGTCACAGAAATAACTTGAATCAGACAAAAGTAAAAAAAATCTATGAAAATTAACCAATAAAAGTCAGACTTTGCTTTTTAACCATGCTTCAACAGAGTTATTTGAAAAATATAAACTCATGAAACAGCCCGGACGAAAATGATGGTACCCTTAAAGGTGGGGTAGGCAGGATTTTATTAAAGAAGCATCTTTTTTTGTGTTTTACATACAAAAAACCTTTTAATATCAGTCTAAAGCTATTAGTTATTGATAACATTAGGGAATATAATGATATCTCTGTGTTTTGTTCTGTCTGTGTAGTCAACATTTAAAGTTTTTTGAGCGGCCCGCTCTTTCTGACTGTAAACAAAGCCGTCTTCCACCTCCCGACCTGATTGGTTGTGAGGCAGACGCTGCTCCCTCGTGTCGCTCACGTGCCCAAACAAAGTTAGCATGCTACAATATCGGACAGTAGAAACCAACCAGAAAGTTTGGAAAATTGTCTGAATCCTCCTTTGGCCACGACTGCCGACACAAGCAAGAAAACAAAGTAAATACCGGAGACTCTGGAGGAATAACGGAAGCTTAATAAGGAGGTAGATCACCCTTACAGACCCTGTTATCTTTCTGCTGGACAGGTAAACCGCTTTAACAAAGTAAGACAAGTGTCTGTAACAGAAGTGTTTCTTTGAAGGGTGCCTTTTCCAGGCAGCATGTTTCAGCTCCTTCCAAAGATGCTCAATAGGACTTAGGTCAGGGCTCATAGAAGGCCACTTTGGAATAGTCCGATGTTTTCCTCTTAGCCATTCTTGGGTGTTTTTAGCTGTGTGTTTCGGGTCATTATCCTGTTGCAAGACCCACGACCTGCGACTGAGACCAAGCTTTCTGACACTGGCCAGCACATTTCTCTTGAGAATCCCTTGACAGTCTTGAGATTTCATTGTACCCTGCACAGATTCAAGACACCCTGTGCCAGATGGAGCAAAGCAGCCCTAGAACATAACAGAGCCTCCTCCATATTTCACAGTACTGACAGTGTTCTTTTCTTGATATGCTTCCTTTTTTCAGTCTGTAAACATAGAGCTGATGTGCCTTGGCAAAAAGTTCCATTTTTGTCTCATCTGACTATAGGACATTCTCCCAGAAGCTTTGTTGCTTGTCAAGGTTGGCTATGGCCTTTTCCTTTAACATGCTTGTCTATAATTTTCTTTTTAATCACCTGCAATAACTCTTTCCTTCACTTCCTCTGGTCCATGTTGAGTGTGGTACACACCATGTCACCAAACAGCACAGTGACTACCTTTAGCCCTATATTTAGGCCCACTGACTGATTACCAGATTGTAGACACCTGTGATGCTCATTAGTGGACACACCTTGAATTAACATGTCCCTTCGGTCACATTATTTTCAGTCTTTTCTAGGGGTGCCATAATTTTTGTCCAGACCTGTTTAATGAGTTTTTTTTTTTTTATAATTCTGTTAAACCACATTTCAATGTTCACTCGTTCATTTGCATAAATGTTTTATTTATTATTACTTTTGTCAGATTCAAGTTATTTCCGTGACCATTGTGGGTTTTCTTCCATTAACCGTGGGGTACCAATTTTGTCCACCTGTGTAGGTGGCCACACCATAATGGGCTTCATCTCTTAGGCTGAGGCAGAAAAGACAGATCAAATCAAACATAAATGAGTGTGAGATTGAAACCCATATTTTATTTGTTATTTTTCATGTGGACAATCAAACTTATACAGCAGCGATAAGTTTGTAAAAAACATGCAACATGGGCTGAAGTTAGGTTGAGGAAGAAGCTTTCAAGCCTAATCCAGGACAGAGCCGTAGACCTCCACCTCACACAGAGTCAGGTACTCTTCCTTTCCAGGGATAACTACGTTAACAAAGCGACCGTCCATGCCATTACACTGGAATTCAACAGTAGCACCAGCTGAGACATTAATCACAGCACACCTGAAAAATGAAAAAGTCAAAGTCAGACATAAGTCAACACACTGATACATATGCCATTACTATGTCTGTTACTCTTGTTCGGGGTACCTACAATATGGCCTATCCTATGTTTTTTGACACATTTAGATTTTTATTAAAATATTTTTGGAAATAACAAATTCAGCTTCACACCTCTGACCTCTTTGATTTGACATCACTTAAGCATTTAGCACTAAAACTTTTCCTCCTTTGGCATGAACATGTAAACTCGTTCAGTGACTTTTCTCATACAGGGTGGTTTAAGTTAACATACACAGAATATTACCTTGGATTGTTGTTGCCGTTGTTTTCCAGTGAGTCCCCGATGCGGAGCTCGGCTCCATTCAGACGTGTAAAGGCCTCAGGATTTTGGCGGTTTGTAATCTTAACAGAAAACACTTTGTGGGTTTTAATCAGATCCAAACGCCACCAGGGGGCGAAGTTGTTGTTTGTGTGACTGCAGGACTTGTGACTCCAAAGGCTGTCATTATTTCCGTCTATTGCAAAGGACGCCATGCCGTCTTGATACATTGTTGACTGTGAGGCTTTTCCTTTGAGAGCAAGGTTCTCTCCTGAAAAAAAAAAAAACAGATATATAATGTTGTAACTTGAACTTGTGTGGTTTCTCACCCACCATAAAGTCACAACAGTGATTTTTGAACCAGTCCAAGGCTGAGCCAGAAAAACCCACCCACTAAAATAATAAAATACAATGATTCACAGTGTCTAAAGCTGTGCTGAGATCCAATAAAACTACCACAGAACATTTTCCTTCATCACTGCTAAGCAAAAGGTCGTTAAAAACTGTAAGATGTGCTAATTCTGTGATATGAGATTAAAGAAAACCAGATTGGAACTTGTCCAGGATGTTATGAGTGTCAAGGCAGCTGTAAATTGAGTTGATCAGCATTGACAAAAATCTCACTCACCGGTTGGTGCAAGGTACCCAAAGACCTCCACTTCACAGAGTGTCAGATATTTGTCAGCACCAGGAACGACGATTGTCACATAACGTCCAGCCATTGTACCTTCCGGAGTCAGAGTGAGTGAGCTCCCTGCAGCAATCTTTTCAATGACAGCAGCCCTGGAAGAGACACAGAAACTCTAGTGGTCAGTGTTTTACTAATGCAGTGCAGGACAGTACAGGATAGCACTGATGTTGCAGATGCCAAATCTGTGAATTAGAAAAATAAAATACACTGTAGTGTTGGGTTTGTTGTAGCGTTAATAACACTCACACTGGGTTTATAACACCGTTATCTTGTAGAGAGTCACCAATGCGGACCTCAGCCCCATTGATCCTCTCTTCACAGCAGTCTCCTCTGTTGGTGATGACGATGGAGGTGATGATGTAGCGGTCCAGCAGGTCCAACCTCCACCAGGGGTTGGTCATTTGTGCAGTGTGGGTGCATGAACCGGCTGAGAAGGTCGCGTCACGGTTTCCATCGATGGCAGCGTAGGCACTCCCAAAGCTGTGCTCATAGCGGTGGGACTGTGTTGCTTTGCCACGCAGGGCTACATTTTCTGTTACGGAAATATAACGTTTAATTAAACTCAGTCCAATACAGATTTATTTACAGTTTTTGCACATGCCTTAATTAATTATTGGTTTGTTATTATGAAGTCCACTACAGGCCAAAAGTTTGGAAGCAAGAACAGATTTGTACAAAAAAAGATCATAGTTTCATATATATAATTTGCAACACAATAAACATGACTATTGTGTAAAGAGTAACTTATCAGAAGACATTTTGACTATAATTATTAGGTATTTGAGTTATTGTTGCTTCGGCTTTGCTTTCTTTAAAGTAACCTCCTCTGGCTTTAACAACAGCTTGGCATATACCAGGCATTCGTTCCACATGTTTTCTAAGGTATGTTCCAGGGATTGCAATCCAACCTTCTTAAGTTCATTAAAAAGAGACTGCTCATTCATGGGAAGCGTTTTTCTGACCGACCGATCCAATTCATCCCGCACAAGCTAAATTGAGAAAGGTCTGGAGACTGAGGGGGCCAAACCATCTTTTGAAGAACACCTCCCTCTTCTTTTTTGTCTCGGTAACCCTGACAGACCTTGGCAGAGTGCTTAGGGTCATTGTCTTGCTGCAAAACAAACTTATGAGCCACAAGTCTGAGTCCAGATGGAGCAGCATGGTGCTGGAGGATGGAGTGGTACTGTTCCTTCTTCATGATACCCTTTACGTCAAACAAATCTCCTACTCTATCACCTGCAAAACATCCCCATACCATAATAATAATAATAATAATACATTTTATTTGTAAAGTGCTTTTCAAAGACACAAAGACGCTGTACAGAGTAAGCAGTAAAAACACACATCAATAAGTAAGAAAATTTACGGCAATATAATAAAAACATGTAATCAGGTAAAATCAATTAACAATAAAACACACATAAATGAGTAATAAAATTTACGACAATGTCAATAAAAACATGTAGAATCAGGTAAAATCTAATGGGGGGGTTAGGAGGGATGAAAGGCAGTGCGGAAGAGGTGGGTTTTGAGAAGGGTTTTGAATCTGGTGAGGTCAGTGCAGTTTTTGAGTTCAAGTGGGAGTGAGTTCCAGAGGGTGGGGGCGGCGACTGAGAAGGCTCTGTCCCCCCAGGTTCGGTGCTTGGTCAGGGGAACTGTGAGGAGGTTGGCATTGGCGGAGCGGAGGGTGCGGGAGGGGATGTAGGGGTGGAGAAGATCCTGTAGGTAGGGGGGGGCGAGGTTGTGGAGTGCTTTGTGGGTGAGGAGGAGGATTTTGTATTGAATGCGATGGGGTATGGGGAGCCAGTGAAGGTTTTGGAGGACGGGGGTGATGTGTTGATGGGAGCGTGTGTGGGTGAGGAGGCGGGCGGCTGAGTTCTGGATAATCAATCAATCAATCAATCAAATTTTATTTATATAGCACTTTACAATATCCCAAATGGTACCCAAAGTGCTTTACATAAAAGCAATAAAATAACACAAGAAAAAATACCATTATAAAATAATACAATAGAATAGAATAATACAAGAACGATGAAATAATAAAAATGAATATGAAAATAAAATAAGCTGAAGTTTGTTGAGGAGAGTGGAGGTGGTGCCATAAAAGAGACTGTTGCAGTAATCTAGACGAGATGAAATGAATGCATGTATAAGGGTTTCAGCTGCAGGGTAGGAGAGGGAGGGGCGGAGGCGGGCAATGTTTTTGAGGTGGAAATAGGCTGTTTTAGTGATTTGCTTAATGTGTTGGGTGAAGGAGAGGTTGCTGTCGAAGAGAATGCCAAGGTTGCGACAGTGGGAGGAGGGGGAGAGGATGGAGTTGTTGATGGAGAGATGAAAGTTTGTGACTGTGGGGGTGAGGGAGTTTGGGCCAATGATGATGAGATCTGTTTTGTCATAATTGAGTTTAAGAAGATTGCTGTCCATCCAGTGTTTGATGTCAGAGAGGCAGTTTGAGAGGGAGCGTTGGGTCTGGGGGGTGATGGAGTTGGAGGAGATATATAATTGAATGTCATCAGCATAGCAGTGGAAGTGGAGGTTGTGTTGATGGAGGATGTGGCCAAGAGGGAGGAGGTAGATGATGAAGAGGAGGGGACCAAGCACCGAACCCTGGGGGACACCTTGGGACACGGGGGCGGTTGTGGAGGAGCAGTTGTTAATATGGATGAAGTGATTCCGGTCTGTGAGGTAAGAGTGGATCCAGTTAAGAGCGGTGTCTGTGATATTGAGGAGGGAGTGTAGGCGGGACAGAAGGATGGCATGGTCGATGGTGTCGAAAGCAGCGGAGAGGTCGAGGAGGATGAGGATGGAGAGTTGGCCAGAGTCAGCGGAGATGAGGAGGTCATTTGTCACTTTTATGAGGGCAGTTTCAGTGCTGTGGTGGGTGCGGAATCCTGATTGGAACTGTTCATATAGGTTGTTACTGTTGAGGTGGGTTTTGATTTGTTTTGACCATGGAAGTACCACCTCCATGCTGAATTGTGGGTGTAACACATGGTGCTTTCGGAGGTTCACCAGTTTGTCTGCGGACATTGACTCTGCGTTTTGAAACAAACAGTGCAAACTTGTTTCTAGTCATCATAAGTCCAATTTTTGTGAGCTTTTGCCCACTCATATCTATTTTTCTTGTTCTGTGGACGAAATAGTGGTTTTTTTTTTGCAGATACACAACCCGTCAGACCAGCCTTTCTCAAACGTCATTTCACGGTTGTCAGAGATATGGGTTTCGACCTTGTCATGTTGATTTCCTCCCTTATTTTTGGTGCTGTCTTGCCGATCTCTCTTACTGGTGACAATGCTATGTTTATCCTCTGCTTTTGTAGTAACTCTCTTTCGTCCAGGTCTTTTTCTGTTATCATAACTTCCAGGTTCCTCTAGTCTCTCCAGAGTGTAGTGGACTCCTTTGTTAAACACCTTTAGGCGTTTTGCAATTTCTCTTTCTGTGTATCCTTCTTCCCTCAATGTACAAATCTGTACTTTTGTTTCTTTACTCAGTTGCTTCCTTCTAGCCATTTTTGCGGTAGTTTGAATGCAGTTGAGACTTATTAGGATTTTTGTATGCAGACTCTCAAAAGCCAAAAAGTTGAAGTGAATAATTCAACTGTGATTTGTTTGTTTGCTTTTTCACGGAAGTTGTGACTCTTGCAAATGTTTTCAACCCTAAAACTAAGCCCTTATTATTCTTTGCTGACATATATTTAGCAATAGTCTGTTAACATCAATGTATATCTAAAGGTAAATGGAGTAAAATGGTGCATTTCCTTGAAAGCAACATCTGATCATGGAGTAAATAAATCCCAAAATACATAAAACTCATGCTGGATTTAAACTTTTGGCCTGTAGTGTATAGCTCACATAATATACATTTTACAGGGTTTATAGCTTCTGGAGGAAAAAGATTTCAGTGGCCCCTTTTTGGTTTAATAGTGACTAGTATGCTCAAATATGAACTTTTGCCAGCTGAGGGTAAATGGTTCATTATTTCAGCTGTTTATCTTACATGAAGAAAAAAACAACTAAAATCCTGACACGTACAAACTTGCTGCTGATAAAAACATGAATTCAGATGTTGGCGTCCATACTTACTGTAAGTGTAAGCGGAGCAGATTCCCAAGAGGGGCAGCAACAAAACTACAATATTGCGCTTCATTGCTCTGCCTGAGACAGAAAAGACAAAAGATTAAACGACTACAAAATAAAACAGGAAGTACTAAAAAACTGATCTAAAGAAAAAAACACAGAACAGGAGGGAAACGGGATGAAACACAAACTGAAAACTCACAAGACTGGATCACAGGGGAACAGGAGCACTAGGGAAAATACACAGAAAATACAGTCAAAACACAAAACCAGGGAAAAATTAAATCAACAGAACATATCATGACAATTTGCAGTTTTAAATCATGAGAAAAATACAAAATGAAATGTTTTACCCTGACTCTGGAAGCAAAATGAAATGCTGGTCCAAAAGCACTGCTGCTGTGCTGATCAGATTTTAGTATTTCTTTATATACCCTTTAGACCAAGCTGTTTATCCAGTCACAGTACATCATGGAGTCCACTCCCATTACCACAAATCACAGTGCTCCTCATGCCATCTGGTTCGAAGGGGTCAAAGTTCATGTGATGCCAAGTCTTGGGTTTCCTGACAGCGACGTGACTGTACTGATCCAACAGAACCTCCTGAGAAAAAAAGACTTTATTTAAACACTTTCACAGAGGCAGTAAAGCAAACACCTGACTTCAGCTGAGGCAACATAACTGTTTGCATAGATGTTCTTGGCTCTATTACTAGAGTTCATCAAAGTTTTTTCATTGATTGAGAGTAAATGATTTCCTAGATTTGTCTAAATCTCATGCAGTAGGGTGTGCAAAATAAAGAGTAAACTTTCTCTGTACTTTTGATCTCTACACCCCCCGTATGTGCTCAGAGATGGTGTAACTCTTAACTCGTAACTGCCACGAGAAGTTGTGTTGTCCAGATATTGAACAGTTGGCTGCTGCCCTTCAGCGATATTATGTTCCAAGCATAAACTTTATATAGAATAGACGCTGTCTGCCTCCTCTCTGGGTGAAGCCACCGCGAGAACAGCACCCTTCGTTGACAGACTGCCATATAGGTCATAAATCTCACCTTGAAAATTAATTACACGGAATATACATTTTTATCCCTAACGAATGCGTACAACGTCACTGCACAAGTGGTGGTTCCAGGAAGTGGAGAAAATCCCACAAATATCAAGAACAATTTGGCTTCAAATTGTTATATGACAGAAGGCGGAACCAAGTTTTCCATAGTACATACAGTCTATGGTTCCAACGGAGTCCAGTCATATCGCAACGTACTTGTATACATCCCACCCAAGGCAACGGCTGAAGTTCCATGTGATGTTCTCCATGATCCGCAGTAATATGCTGCAGATGTTTTATCAATCTGTGGTGGCAAGTTTTCAGTTTAATGCTACAGTCTGCTGGGGAGGAAGTATAGAACACAAGCGTGCAAGACAACTGGACGAACTCATGAAAAAAGCATTTTTATGAATGTATAAGTTTTGTAATTTTTTAAATGCAATTAAAACAGTATTTAAAAACTACATCGTTTTATCGATGAGTTGAAAATGCAAACAGAAAAAAAGGTTTTTGCCACCATGTCAAAGGCAGAGGTTTAGACTCTCAGGGGTACTGGTATATTGAGCGCCTCACCCTCCTTCTCCATTCTCTTTGTGTCTTTATCATTAACTTTGAATCATCATGTCCCATTAGAGTCACTAATACTCAGTCTTTTCTGGGAGTCCCTGAGCTCCATTGTGCCGTAGGTTCTTCTGGATCCCTGCTGCAGATGTTTTTTTCTGCCGTAGACCTGCATTCTTTCCTGCACCAATCTCATCTCTGTCCATCTCTCTTTCTTCATCTCCCTCTATCTAACATTGGTTCTGCTCAGGGTGATTCACATTAATCCTTAAAGCTGTTGTTTTTGATATTGGAGCGAACTGAACGCATGTTTTCCTGTGCATTGAAGTTAGCGTCATTTGTTATGGGAAAGGAGGTATATTTGGTCACACCTCCTTGTGGTGTTAAATTCAAAACCAGGATTATTAGTATTGTTTACATCAGTGTGTGATTTGTCTGTAACCAGCATATATTCTCAGATTAAACCACAACATTATGCAGGAAAGTTTCCTCTCAGTTGTTGACTTGTCTAGAAAAATAACCCTTAACCATCTTTTCTTCTCTTTCCATGACATAAATATGAGAGGAAATATCTCTGAATACTTAAGAACTTAAAGTGGTTAAAAAAGTGATGAACATAGCACTACAGCACATTGATGATAAGCCATTGCCTTCCACCTGAATTTTTGACGGGAATACACAGTTACCTTGAATGCTGGTAGACTGACGGTAAACGATGCAGGACGGGGAAGGTCAACTTTTCCTTAATGTTTGCTTAACCAGAGAGTTTGGAAAGTTGCCCATTGTTCAGCAGCCACATGTATTGTCAGCTGACTGAACGAGCGAGCGGTCACAGAAAGTCTTTTTCAGAACAATTTTGTTGGAAACAATCTCCCCAAACTTTTCTCTTGCTTCTTCAAACCTTCTGATTCCTTTCAAACATTATTCATGTAATTTTCTGTCTGCTCACTACCTTGCTTTGTGAATGAGTATCATCATATAGTGATCATAACACTTATCATGACAGAAATATAAGCAGTCACAACAGGAAAGATTACCATCCAACAGCACAAGCTTTATTTTTATTTACAAGCTGTTTGATGTGGAATGAAAAATTCAAAGATGTCTCTGAAAATGACAGAAAGTGCTAAATTATATAAAACCACATGAATGCACATGACCTCGAGGACATGAACACAAAAGTCAATATATTCCCTAATAATTACAAGAAATGCTATAATCAGGAAACATTATCATAGAAACATATTTAGAAACGAAGGCTAACAACTATGAAAGATAATAAAAAAAAAACTCAATGTTTTTTGCTCCCTAGTGGCCAAAATTGTCTGACTGTGGCTGTAAAGAAAGAAGCGAAGAACCTCAAACGTCTTTCTGCCCCCTGGTGGCCAAAACATGAGATTGTAGGGAAGAAACTTCAGTCGAACAAATGCAAAACTTAAAGTAGCCAAGATAAGATTTGAGATGTCCTAAACACATAATCAGAGCGTAAAATAAGATTGGTTAACATCTACTAAACATCTCAGAGTGGCTGCTTTTAGGATTTTTTTTTCTGGTGTTCAAATATTGTCTAAATGCAGCTTTAACAGCTGTTGATGTCTCTAAAGATGACTATATGATTAAAATATAAGTTTCAGGTGCGATTCAAGCACAGCAGAGTAAAGGAGATGGACATAAACCAAGTCCAGATGACTGCTTCTCTGAGTTTTTCTGCCCCCTTGTGGTAGAAGCAGGGACTGTTTGAGTTATCAAACTGTTGTTGCTCTCTCTGATGATGACGAACTAGGAATTAAAGTTATTAAAAGAGCACATGGCTGCAGTATAAAATGTATAAAATGACCTAATCCAGTCTGGAGCCGTAGACCTCCACCTCACACAGAGCCAGGTACGACGTTCTTCCAGGAATAACTACGTTAACGTAGCGGCCGTCCATCCCGTTACAGTTGAAGTTTTCAGTGAAACCTGCGGCGATGGAACTGATCACAGCACACCTGAAAGAAGACAGTTCACCGTGAGGTCTATGAAGAGCCGTTTTGATGAAGAAGCTCTTAAAGTTTGTGTCTCATACTAAATTACCTGGGGTTGTTGTTTCCATTGTTGTCTAAGGAATCCCCGATCCGGATCTCAGCTCCGTTAATCCATGTGGCAGTGTTCCAGTAGTTGGTTATGTTGACAGAAAACACTCTATGGGTTCTTCTCAGGTCCAGTCTCCACCAGGGGTTGAGCTCGTTAACTGTGTGAGAACAGGAGGCCTGGCCCCAGATGCTCGCTTTATTCCCGTCAATGGCGTGATATGCAAAGCCAACAGAATGAAGAGAAGACTGGGAAGCTTGTCCCTGGAGCGCCAAATTCTCCCCTGCATGAAAGAAACGTTGCAAACGTCAGCTTAGTGACAGTTTTTCATTGTGCTTTTTGTAGCAGCTAGGAGAAATGTGCAAGGTTATGTGCACCTGTGTTTTTCACATCCTTACCTGTAGGGGCAGGATACCCGTACACTTCGACTTCACAGAGCGAGAGGACCTTTCCTGCACCAGTGAGAGTGATAGTCACGTAACGTCCCTCCACAAGTCTGGTGAAAGTGATGTTTAAAGACCTGCCTGCTTGGATTTGGGGAATCACTCCCACCCTGAAAGAAGGAGAAGAGAGCGGGAATCATTTTTCAGGGAAACAGACAAGAGTGTGGTTAAGGCAAAAGCTTTGCCATATAGCGATATACTAAAATTTCCCCGCTTGGAAAATATGGTTATTTATATTTTCTTATTCTTTGCCACCTACAAACATTATTCAATGAGAGAACCGATCAGGTTCTGCTTCTCTGTGATGCCACTAATAAAAAGGTCCAATTCTTCACTCACAGTGGGTTTGCGACTCCATTGTCTCGTAGAGAGTTTCCGACATGAATCTGAGCCCCGTTGATCCTCTCGGGACAGCAGTCTCCTCTGTTGGTGACGACTATGGAGGTGATGATGTAGTGGTCCAGCAGGTCCACCCTCCACCAGGGGTTGACCTGAGCTAAAGTGTGGGTGCACGATCCATGGTTATAGTCGTTGTCACGGTTTCCATCGATGGCATTGCTGGCAGATGCCAAGATGTTTACCAGTCGGGTTGACTGGGTCGCTTTTCCACGCAAGGCCACGTTTTCTGTAATGTAAACATTTTACTGTAAGTGTACATCCAAACGTGTGTTAGTAGTGTACTTTCATTTCAGAAAGTTATAAAGGATGCTTTCATGAACACTGTGCAAGCTAACTTAGACCTTTTTTACTCACCTTGAGGGAGCAGAAAAAAATTGCCCAATTACTACTTATTGATTTTTCTCCAGCTTTTAACTGTATCCAAACTCTCATTACAGCAAATAAACTAGGGCATCCACAACATTGTTCTGAGTCTTATAAGTTGACTCAGAGACTTTTTAACTAAAAGATGGTTTTATATACTAATAATGAATGTAGGAGTCGACATGAGAGGCATCATGTCCTCAGTGGACCCATTATGACCCAGTTTTAGCCTATTTTACTGACCAGTGCGGGTCTATGATGGTCGATGCTCTGATATTAGAACTGAACATTAAGGTGAGCCACAGGGTTCTGTTTTAGGCCCCTTTTTGTTTACTATTCATGAGAACAAATGCTGCCTTTAGATTTCTATGCTGATGACACTGTTATATCCTGAATCTGAAGCTTATTCTTGGTGGAGAAAAATCTAAAAATACCCAGGTATGATGACTCTCTAAAGTTTGGACAACATGTGCTGGGCTTGGTGTGTTTTTCTTTAAATGCCAAAAAAGCTCTAAATGTATAATAAGATGCAGAGAAATCGGATGTTTGATAATAGAGATACGAAAGCACATGAAACTCACGGTAATTGTAAGCTGCGCATGTTCCCAGGAGGAGGTGCAGGAGCAGAACTGAGCTGTACTTCATTGTTCTGTTTAAAAATACAGAGGAACAAACACAATTAGACCCTTAGACAAAAAATAACCACTGTCTACATTATTAATAAACAAATAATCTTTGACAATAGAAAATCTTGGCCTCAAAAAGTGGAAAAAAGAAGTGCAGTATTGGTCTAAATACAGATTACATAAACCTACACATTTTTTCTTACTCTTATCATGATGTTCCCTTTTTTCTCACATAACTTACAGCTTGATGAAACAAAATCAGAGGTATTTTTGCCATAAGATACATGTTTTATAAAAATATATGCTGTTAAAAAAATAAAAAATAATTATTATTTTTAGTAACAAAGGTAAATGTTGCTTCTTTTTACACAAAAATTGGGTCACAGCGTATATTAATGACACTGAAATGCAAATTCAGATCCCACTGTTCTGATAAAATAAATTCCTCTGCTTTAAAATAATTCAAAATTATTTAAAATATCCTAACATATTTTGACATGCATAGTGTCACCAGATTATTGATGTATTTCTAACCCTTAAATGCTAATTAAAATCATTCAGTTACAAACCACGTACCTTTTTTTGCAGAGTAAAATCTCAGGAGAAGATGAGGAGCCGCTGTCTGTGCTGTGTTGACTTGACATGGATCACCATCTGATATTTATACTCATCTACTATCGCAACACGTGCTGGTTTTTATTGATGATTTACAGTGGGGTGAATTTCTGTTTCCTGGTCTGCAGATAATGTTCAATTGGACTATCAAGCAGGTCAGGGATTGGTTAATGTTTTATGATGTTTTATTTGCCTTAGATCCTGTCTTCTGTGGAACTTTATCAACATGTCCTCATTTAATAGTGAACTAATTTAAACAGAACCATAAAATAAACCAGGGCATGTGACAAAGCATGTGAAAAGAAATACAGAGGGTCTCACAATATGACAGCAAATATCTGTAACATCCATTAAGTGCAAGTAAAGCATCCCCACTATTTGCATCGTATTGCTCATTATAGAGTTCCTGGTTTCCCTTAAACTTTCTGGTTATCTTTTCTGATGAGGACATATTTCATGTCCACTTTAAGGCTGAGGCTGTGTCGCAAACCTGCTCATTTATCTGACTTTGTTCTGAAGCATAAAATCACGTGTACTTGTTTACAGTAAATTCAGGAAAAATAAAGTAATACTTCCTGGTCCTGAGAGATACAACAGTGTGATTAGACAGGGGAAGGTTGCTGATATGCTGACGGACAGTTTAAGTGGCACTAATGGTTGATTAGATACTGCATGGACTTTGGATTCTTGACAAAGTAAAAGCTCATAGGGTAAAAAGAGAGATATAAAATATCAGAACAAGACAGAAGAAACTGTGTTTGTGTGAGATGTGTGAGAGTTTCACATTTTAACCTGCAAGAATTGAGTTAAAAATGGAGGACTTGTTTGGTTCACATGATGTTGCTTTTATTTTGAAAGTGCCACAGTGGGAAAGTGAAACTGGGTTCACACGTGCGTCTTGGCTTAGCGCTAGAGCAGCTCCAAGTCTTGGCCTACTTTCTCTTTAGAATCTGAAAATCTCCTAAACATTCATTTTGCGTAAGTATAAAATAGTCTCCATTTTCACTCTTTAACCTTAAAAGTTTTAATTAATTCAGAGTTGTAGAGCCTCCCCACACTTCCCACACATTTTTTTTAATCGGTGCTTTTACCTGAGTATTTTCTGTGGACAGTATCAGTGACTGAGAACAAATACTGATGAAAATAAAAGCTTCCATCAACTGAGTGTCAGCCAACTCACTCTTACACTTGCTTTTATGTGATGCCGTCTTTTATCTTTTATCTCTTTTACCTTCATCTTATTTTGACTTACTGTTTTTTTTTTTGCATAGACTGTATATAGAATGGACGTGACAACGTGACTCCATGACAACAGGTTAGCCTTTCTCTACCGCTCTGGCCTGGAGAGTTTTGGTCCACATTGTTGGCGTCTTTGGCTATGTTCACACCGCAGGTCAATTCCGATTTTTCAACCATATGTGACACAACCATCTAAGTGTGAACAGTACAATTCTGATTTGTTCTAATCCGACCCAGGCCTCTTTTGTATGTGGATATAAATCGGATATGTATCTGATGTGACTGCAGTGTGGACGCTCAGGTCGCGTTCATCCGACCTATACGTCATCAATATGCGACAAACGTCACCATTGTTCGGCGCAGAAAGCAATTTGTGCTTTGTGCGCATGCAGGTCACTTCACGGACGCATTCCATGCACATTAGATGCCGCATTCGTTGTTGTAATGTGAACCTCATTGTCGTTTTCTTCCACTTCATCCGGGTCCGGGTCGCGGGGGCCGCAGCTTCAGGAGGGAAGCCCAGGCGGCCCTCACCCCAGCCACTTCCACCAGCTCCTCTGGGGGGATTTCCAGGCGCTCCCAGGCCAGGGGAGAGATATAATCCCTCCACCTGGGCCTGGCCCGGCCACGAGGTCTCCTCCGGGTGGGACATGTCTGAAACACCTCTAACGGGAGGCGTCCAGAAGGCGTCCTAACAAGATGCCCGAGCCACCTCAGCTGAATCCTCTCGACGTGGAGGAGCAGCGGTTTTACTCTGAGCGCCTCCCGAGTGTAATGTGAACCACCGTACATAAAGATCGGATTTAACGAAAAATCCAAATTTTGCATCATAACCTGCAGTGTGAACGTAGCCTTTGTTGCACAGTACGCACATGTGTGAACAGTAAAAAGGCACCATTGGAAATGGGGACATCAATAACCCGAAAACAAAAAGTAGATTTATTATTTTGTTTTTGTTTCCATCTCTATTATATGTTGTGTTGAACTGAAAATACAAAAACAAACACTAATCTTTTATGTTTTGGTTGTATAGAAAAACAAAATATCAACTCGTTTTTTAGTTTTCCGTTTACTAGATTGAATTGAATGATTGAATATACGGTTATACACGGACAATTTATTCTTACGTGGACGCGGCACGCTTTCGCACCTTTCGACCCCCTGAAAAAGCCCCAAAAAGACGTTTGACTACATTACCCAGAAGCCCATTCGAACAGACACTCGCGAGACTAGAAAACTACCAACACGTCTGCGGCTGCGCAATACCGTTCGAAAAACTTGCACGGTGAGCGACGCCGTGGTGGAGAAAGACGACGCAGCGAACAAAACACACAATGGCGACGGCGGCGACCACGGCAGGCGGGACTGGCTCAAGCGGACCGGCTACCGGCCCAGTCGGCGGCGGTACCGCAGTGGGACGGAAGAAAGACGGCGGTCCTTCGACGAAATTCTGGGAGAGTTCAGAGACGGTATCGCAGCTGGAGACGGTTCGGCTGTGGATCGGAAAGCACTACAAGAAGGTGAGCTAGCTGGGCCCGCGTCCCCCAGCACAATGGAGCGCTGCTGGGCTAGTTTGGCAGTTGGTGACAAAAAGAAGTTTTTCTCGAGTTAAGGTTGAATACAGAAGCGGGATATTAAGTTTTCAGGCTGTAATAAACACAGAAACCGTGTAACCGTGTCAACATATGAACAAATAGTGTAATAAGTAAAGCGAAACTGCTTATCAATCAGCTAGCTCACTGTTAGCGTGCTAGCTGACCAGTCCGTGCTGCAACTAATAACATCCAATGAAAGACTAATGCAAATTACAGCCACTGTATTCATTCAACTTCTGTATATAGTAAGTATTTTTAATGAGAAAGAAGAAGTTAAACGGTTTCATCAGTACATTATCACGCCCAGGCTAACCAAATGTTAGTCACGGGTTTTCTTGCTTTAAGTGCAACTAAATGGAGCTCTGTATTTTTCTCTGTATTTATGTTTGTTTAAAGTGTAAAGCAGTTAAGGGGAAAATCTGGTCAGATCACTGTGTGCATTCTGCAAACCTCGTAGTATTTTGTGCTGAAGCGTGAGCGCTGTAGAGTTTTGTCAACACAGCAGCATACCAGACTGTTCAGGCTGTCCTCGCCCACTAAGTTAGCTCAACAAAAGCCTGAGTCTGTCTCCTCATGCTGTTATTCAGACCCACTGACACACTCCAGACACAAACAACCAGATAAATGATACGAATCCTCCTTAAATTAAGTGTTTGAACCCAGTTTGGAGTGAGTTTGGTAATAGGGCTGGGCAATGGAAAATTTTTAATCACAATTTATATTTTTTCATATCAATCGATGTTAAGGCTGCACAATATTGGAAAAGAACTAACACTGCAATTTTTTTAAACCCTGCGATATAAAAAAATACAGGAATTTTCACCATATCGTATTTATGCTGAAATCTTGTGGACAGTTAAGGGGTCGACGTGAACATAGAACGCGAAATTACGAAATATTCAGAGGCAAAGTTTGACGCGCCTGACTATACACAGCAAACCCGATGCGATTTTGCAACTTTCCGGGGGGGAAAAAAGACACATCACGGGAAGACTTTCTGCAAGGTGCATGCAATTCTCAGCGGACATGTGTTTCTCCATAGTACTACATAGTAGCCATAGTACTAGACACCAAACATCTTTTTAACTTTGACTAATTTCTTTAACAAAGAGACTAAACACAACTCACCTACTCTCTTTCGGCAGCTGCTTGTTTGTAGTGGGACCTCCGGGTGAGTCCATAGACTACAGCGGGGTAACGCAGCTCAATGAAGAACATTTATGATGTTCGGTGTTACGGTGTGTTTGACCCTCATGTTGTCTGTCTGCTGAATAAACCACACGCATCAGCCGTCACCCCCAACACACATCAGTGATCCTTGGTTTTCTATAACCTTGTTTCCAGCTCACTGGACCACTTCTGGTGGGCAGTGACCACTCTAGACTGTGAACACCCCGCTAGACTAAAGTCACTCACATATTTACACTCGCTCATTTTTCCTGATTCTATCAAATTAATATCAAGGACAAAATGTTCCCCTGCTGCCTTCATATCCTACCTACTGACGGATGCCATATAGTACAGTGATAACCATTGTGATCCGCCTCAGCTAAATGCTGAAAGTGTGTGCATATTTCTAACTTCACTAACTTTGAGTTCAATGCATTTTGTTTTATTCTGTTGTGTGTACCCCACAGTGGTGATTTGATAGATTTATCATCATTGTTGGCTGTAACCAGTTGCGACGACTGGTTTTCTGTCATCTGTCGCATCTGCACAGAAAAATACAAGCATGAGAAAGATGATATCCATCTGTGTCAGCCCACTTTCTCCCTGTGTGTGAGGAAAGACAGGCTTCAGGAAAGAGGAAAGACTGTGTTTTGGAGCCATTTTCATTATGGGCTTCATATCCATACACTGTACAACACAGGTGACAGCTGAAACATGACAGTTGTGATCCCGCACACCCTCAATGACTGCGCTGGGGTTGTTTTAAATCATAACCGATGTAACAAGTAAAATGTAAGTTACATAATGAATGAATAATGTCTTTTGTTTTCATCTTAAAAAAGACATAAAAATCAAAAGAAATCTTTTAGTGTTTGAGTTTGTAGTCAGGAGACTTTTGCAGAAACCTTTGCAGGCTCCTCTGTAGAGCTGGTTTGTCTCACAATTTACCCGCTGGGATAAAAAATGCCCCTTTTGCATGTGTCCCCTCGACATTGTCCCGGTTATATTTAGACTAAATCTTGCGTGAGTTTTGCTTGTCCTATTTCCTCCAACTGACCTTGTATCTTCGCTGCGCTACCAAAGATTTAAGCTCTGTCCCAGGGCAGCAGTGAAAACCCATCATCTGAGAGAAAAGAAAATGAGTAATAAGCAAGATTTAGAAAATGGAAAGACCCTGAAGAGCAGAAACTCTTTATGTTGACTCTGTGAGCTCTCGGTGATGTTGTTGTTGTTGTCCTTTATAGAAGAAAAACAGTGAAAACAAATGATTCAGTGTATATAGCATAGCAGAATTACATGAATCTACTCTGGGCTGCATCCAACAACTGCTGTCAGTATTCTTGAAGTTGTTTATTATCTGCTTTTGAATAATGGATGAGTGGTTCGATTTGTTGGCCACGAGTTTTATAATATTGTGGGTTTATTCGAAGGTCTGACAGTCTCAGGGAAGGTTGTTTGTATTTCTATCAATCAATTCAGCCCGTCAGTTAAAATGTACTTTCCTAAAACTATAAATCCCTCATCCAGATTGCTTACATCCCCGTTCACATGCAATGACAAACCTCTCTCTTTGCATACAGGGTGGTCCCAGTTTCATTGTAGTGTTTGAATGATCCTTACTCTCTCTCTCTCCCTCTCTCTCTCTGTCTGGTTCCAGTATGTCCAGAATGACTCCCCCTCCAGTAAATCCCTGGCGGGTCTGGTCGTTCAGCTGCTGCAGTTCCAGGAGGATGCATTTGGACGCAGGGTTAACAACCCCGCTCTCACCAAGCTACCTGTAAGTAAATCACACCTGCGTTTTGTTGCATTTGAGCTCTTCTCTATTGCATTATCCCCGGACATCAGAGCTTCATGGTTTCTTTGCTTTCCTCAGGCCAAGTGTTTCCTGGATTTCAAGGCAGGAGGGGCTCTCTGCCACATCTTGGGCTCGGTCTACAAGTTCAAGAGCGAGCAGGGGTGGTGAGTTGACTTGTGACCCTTATTATTTTCTTGTGTCACCCACAGCTCTTATGTTGTTCATTTTCCTGCTTTGTCATCCTCCCGCAGGCGCAGATTTGACCTGCAGAACCCCTCCCGGATGGACAGGAACGTGGAAATGTTCTTAAACGTGGAGAAGAACTTGGTCCAGGTGTGACCCATAATTCTGATTCACACTCCTTTAGTCTGGGAAAAGCCTGGTGTCCTCATTCGAGTTGACAGATACAGTTTATTCCTCCTAATGACAATGTGAATGAGTTTGATTGATTGTATTTGATTATAATTGGAAGAGAGATCCCAGTAAGATGATAAGAACAAGTTTTGAAGGCCAAAATGAACGATTGAATGTCAGTGAATTATATAAATCTTCAGTTTTTGGTCTAATCTGCATAGTTAAGTTATAATATTGGTGTTTTTCTGAAACCTCTGTGCGGTTTGAACCAGTTTAATCTCAGTGGTCATGGATTTCTGAGCCTGTTTCTGTGTTTAAACTTTATGTTAAACCCTTATAATCTTGTCTGGACCATAAACAGATGATGCTGCTTATTGATTCATGGGTGGACGACAACTGCTGTAAGAATATTTCTTTACCTTAACACTGTTTTTTTCTTGTAGAACAACTGCTTGACTCGCCCCACTGTGTTCCTGTCGCCTGACATCGAGCAGAAGCAAGCCAGTAAGCTCAAGGACATCATCAAACGGCACCAGGTGAGCCAAACTCGGACATGATGGCGGCGAACTCTTTTGTATCCTGTCGGTTTGCTAACGATCGAACTTCTCCTCTCTGTTTTAGGGCTCCATGACTGATGACAAGTCTAAAGCCACTCATCACATCTACCCGTCTCCGCCCCAACAAGAAGAAGGTAGGCGGGAACTTTCTGTGTACTGCAGATTAAACCTGACAGATTAAACAGTTTTTACTCTGCATGCAGTTGTCCATTATTTGTCGTAGTTTATTGGTAGTAGAGTGAAATGTTTTCATCAGTATTGGTCTGTGTTTGTTGCAGAGGAGTGGCTTCGTCCAGTCATGAGGAAAGACAAACAGGTGTTGGTTCACTGGGGTCTTTCTCCTGACAGGTGAGCACAGAGGAAGCTCAAAAGTCCCATCTGGGTCTAATATCATTCATGCCAACTTTTTTATAACTCTTTTCTGTTTCATCTCAAAGTTACGACACCTGGGTATCAGCCAGCGAGGTGGACGGGGATGTGGAGGACCCGCCCAGCACCGACAGACCGTGGAAGGTGAGAGAAACACTCCTCAGATTTCGTATCTGAAAGCCAGAATGAATGATGAAACATTAAAGGAAGCATCTCTCAAAGCTGCTGAATCATTACCCTGCAGCATCTCACAGGAATTCCTTTTTGCAGGCACCAAAGCTGTTCATGTTTTTCTTCAAGATTAGTTTAAAGCTTTTACATGCAACTGTCAGTCTGTCATGTCAGTAAACGAAACACAAAAATCTAGAGTAAGGGGGTCATGTGAACACTATTGTAGGTGCGCTTGCTTCACCAGTCGGGTTGAGTGTTAAAGGTGATTTATTGTTAAAAAAGGAAAGAAAAAACACTGATCCAGGTCCAAAACTTTTGCCTTCAAATGAAAAAGTGATGAGATGAAATGAGGGTAAAACAGGATGAGTGAAACGATCAACAGAAAATTATCAGAGCTGACCAAAAACCCATTCTCTGACTACACATTGTCCTGCCGAACATCTTAAAACCACACCCTTCAGTGTCGATCCCTGGAAGTGACACACCTAGTAGAAATCATATCCTCAACAAATATATTTTGGCTCCTACAACCATCATGTATAAACATATTAACTAGTTATTTAACAGCTGCTGATTGGACAAACCCTAAACAAATGTTAGCAGAGTCAGCACCGCCAGTCAGTGTTTCCTCTGTCAGGTCAGCCTCCACTTTATCAATCGTCTTAATCCCTGGGTTTATATTTTCAGGTCCACGCCAAGTGGGTCATGGACACTGACGCCTTTAACGAGTGGATGAATGAGGAAGACTATGAGGTGGATGAGAACAAGAAGCTGGTCAGCTTCCGTCAGAGGATTTTCCCTAAAGAGGAGGATGTAAGTTTTTCTGCGCTGCGCTCGTTCGTCTGAGATAAAACTCATTGTTATTGTTGTTATTACAAACCTTTTAAAGAGGATAAAAAGTGTAAAACTGTCCAAACACTGTTAAAATAAGTCGTGTTTCTGTTTGAGTGTCTTTGCTGCCGGTCTGTGTGGTTGTCTGTCGCCGTCCTCTGTGGATTCGGTGTTGTTGCTGTTTTCCTTCGTCTCTTGTTCGTTGCGCATCCTCTCCAAGCTTTTCCTCACTCTTTGTCTCCTCTCAGTTTATTCCAGGGCTTCTGTCCACTTCAGACAAATCTTTGAGGATTTCAGAATCAGACCAGAAGTTGGAAAATTTAGTGGGTTTCTTACTTGACTGGTCACTGACCGAAAAATTACTAAAGATGCTTAATCGGGTTTTAAGATTTGGAAAAGTAAAAATGGATTTCAAAGGGTTTACGCCCTGCTGTACAGGATCTTTTTGTTTCTTAAATGGTTTAAAATTTTGGTTTTGAATATTTTACAACATTACTGAAAGGATCTGTGAAGAAATTCTTTTGTTTGTTTTAGTAAGCTGTCATTAACAACCAAACAAAGCCACACTCCAACATTTTAATCCTCCAGACTCTTGAGTTAGAGGTTATTCTCCATCGTAGAATAAAAGAGTTGCTGGTAAAGGATTTAAGATTTCAGGAACTTTGAAAAATGGTCCCGGTGTGTTTTCCCTGAAGGGTTAAAAATGTAAACAAAGATCAGCAAACATCAGCGCTGAGCGATAACTTAATCCAGAGTGAGTTTCAGCTCGATGCACGGTTCAAAAAGTGGAAAATTAGTTAAAGTTGAGATGGGACAGTGAGCAGGAACCCTGGTCGTCTCCTCCACCACCACAGCATCTCCCTCCCCTCCTCCCTGTCGTCGTTCCTCCTCTGCTTCCCCTCCTTGTGTGTGCAACCGTTCCATCCTCTCATTCTGCTGCTCTTTCTCTCATCCTCCATCCCTCGTTCCCTGCGCTGCACGGGGTTTGTCTGATCAGTCTTCCCGTACACCTGATCGAAAGGAGCGCAAGGCCAACTCTGCCGGGAAGAAGAGGAGGCGCTCGCCCTCGCCGCCCAGCACTCCTGCAGAATCCCGCAAGAAGGGAGGAAAGAAGGGGTAAGGATGCGACCGGGTGCAAGTCTTCATTTAGTCCCTTGACTTCCTCAGGGTTAAAGAGTCTTTATATTTATCATTTTTAAGTTATTTTCTGAACACAGTAACAGAATGAACCTCTCCTGCGTTTCTTTGACTCTCGTCTTTCCCGTTGGTATCAGGAACCCGGGGCCTCACTGGAAGCGGCGGGGCCACAGAGGCGAGGAGGAGGACACGGAGGAGGACATGACCAAGGATATGGACGACTCCTCGGCCGGTGCGAGCATAGAGGAGGGCAGCATGTCCAAAAATGGTACGAGAAAAGCACGTGTGCTCTATCTTGACCAACCTGCTCATTCAAGGACAGGAAGTATCTGGATATCAGAGTCATAATAACCCGAGCAGAGAAGGAGTGATTCGTCAGTTTTTAACCTGCTCAACAGCTTTACAGTCGATCAGTAATCTGCACAGGGCTGTTTTAATATCAGGTTTTTACTTTCTGGGTTAAACTTCGCTCGATAGCCCTGACGATTTTCCTAAACATGTATACGGAAGCTGACTTGATTTTCCACGACATGATCACAGTCCTGATTCTGCATCCTCAGACAGTCTACGAGAGTTGACTAAAATCCCCCTCAGAGGCAGATCAGTCCTCACCTCAGTGAGCTGATGTCTCTGTGTTTAGATTTTCAAAGATATCATCTGCAGAAGAAAGAGAGAGAGATCGAACAGATTCAGTTTTCTGCAGCGACAACAAAATGCAAATGAAAGTGCAAAAACATGAGGATAGGACCTCGCTCTCCTTCCACTGCTGCATGGATCATTGTCCCGTTAGAAAAGCATAAAGACAGCCCTGAGGGTCGTGCTTTTAAATGACTCGATTCCTTCTCTGCATAAAGATCCTCTTTAAACCCAAACACACAATCCTCCCTGAAAAACGCTCTTTTTAGACCAGGTCCCATCAGCTATGTCCCACTTTTTACAGAAATCCTTCAACACACGCTCTCTATTTTGGTGTCCTCTTTTTCTAACCGGAGTGCTCATTAATGCCTTCATGTCTGCGGCTGAATTAAACACTGTTTGAGGTTTTTTTTTTCAGGCCTCCACATGATTCAGTTTTTCCTGTTTTCTTTCAGCAAATTCAAAGAAAGACAGCGAGAACACGCCTGTGAAAGGAGGGAATGACCTGGGTATGTGAGACGATCTGTTCATAAATCACAAACCAAGAAGAAAAATCAAAATTTAAACTGAAACCCATTTTTTTATTGCCTCCCAGATGACATGGAGGATGACTCAGTGCTGTCTGGAGGAAAGGTGAGATGATGGATTACCCAGACTGCTCTCTGCTTTTTTTTCTCGTGCATTTACTTTCTTCCCCTTACACCAGACATTTCTCGTCCTCATCTTTGCTCTTGTTTTTCTCTCGCTCTGAAGGATGATGAGGAGCAGGGCAAAGCTGAAATAAACCGACTGATCGACGCCGGAGAAGATAACGTGACTGAGCAGACTCACCACATCATCATCCCCAGTTACAGCGCCTGGTTCGACTACAACTGGTAAGAACCACATTAGTCCTGCTGCATCGACCTTTTGAAACACGAGAAGAAAACCTCTGATTTCACTCTTTTTTTTTCACGGCAGCATCCACGAGATCGAGCGACGAGCGCTGCCCGAGTTCTTCAACGGGAAGAACAAGTCCAAAACTCCAGAGATGTGAGCGCACACACACACACACAGACACGTCTCTTCATGTGCGTCATCTCGTGTCGTGGCACACGTTCAGGTTTATCATTTTGGGGTTCTGCTCATGTCTCAACAGATACCTGGCTTATCGTAACTTCATGATTGACACGTATCGGCTAAACCCCCAGGAGTACCTCACCTCCACCTCCTGCCGCAGGAACTTGACCGGAGACGTCTGTGCCATCATGAGGTGAGCAAAGGCCGAGACTTTAGATAAATGAATGGGGTGAATTTATCGGATATTTTAGATTTGATCGATCGGAAAGTCAAATTTTAAAATAAGTAATGGCTGTTTGTCTCCAGGGTTCACGCTTTCTTGGAGCAGTGGGGTTTGGTGAACTACCAGGTCGACCATGAGAGTCGCCCGCTGCCTATGGGTCCTCCACCCACACCTCATTTCACCGTTCTCGCTGACACACCGTCTGGCCTCATGCCTCTGAACCACAGACCTCCACCGGTAAGTGATGGAAGGATATTATCCTCTCGAGTTCTTCTACATGAAACCGTCTGAATATAAACAAACTGTTGTCGTCGTTCCCGTAGATTCCTCCTCCGCAGCAGCAGATGCCCAACTTCATGGATAAAGGCAAAGACAAGGCCATCGACCTGCAGAACTTCGGCCTTCGCTCCGACCTCTACAACAAGAAAAACATCAAGGTCAGTGAACAACTCTTTAATGCAGCAAACAACCAATTCTGGTTTTTAATTTGTTCTCTTTAGCTGCTTAAATTGGAGTTTTTTGAGGGCCTTTGTCATTAAAAATCACTGCAGGCAAGGTTTTATGGTGTGATGAAGTGTACAGGGAATAAAAACAGTAAAAAAGCAGCAAAGTCTGTTTTTCTCTGACGTACAGATCTCAGTATAAATCTGATATCAACCACACGATTCTTCTGGGTTCACAAAATGATCCATAAAAGGGAGAAAAGATGATTCTGCTCATCTCCTTTCGTAATCTCTCAATGCCTTCTCTCTCTCTCTCTCTCTCTTTCTCTCTTTTTCTCACACGACTGTTTATTTTTGTTGCCCCACAGGGAAAAGCTGTAAACTCCACCAGGGATTGGACTGAACAGGAGACTCTGCTGCTGCTGGAGGTAAGCCTCAGAGGACCTGAAAGAGAAAAATACCTGATTAAAGACCCGTCTCTCTCTGTTTGAGCTCCTGAGCTCTGAAACTCCGACTTCAACCAGCTGGACGAGAAACAGCTGGTTATTGCACTTGTTGATTTCCCTCCACTTTGACACTCTTTCTTCCTTCCTAACCTCATCTCATCCCGTTTTATTTCTTTGTTTCCTTCTCTGCATCTCCCTCTTACTTTCGTCTTCTCACAGCCTCGTATTCTTCGTTACACTCTCCTTTTCCTCCATCCTGCGCCTCCTGACCCTTGATTCCCTCCCTCTTTTCTCCAGCTCCTACCTCTGTGAATACACGAACAAAAGACCTAAAACTTGTATCGTCTCTCCTCTCTTATCTCTCCTCTATCAGGCTCTGGAGATGTACAAAGACGACTGGAACAAAGTGTCCGAGCACGTCGGTTCACGCACACAGGACGAGTGTATCCTTCACTTCCTGCGGCTGCCCATCGAGGATCCGTACCTGGAGAGCACCGAAGCCTCTCTGGGTCCTCTGGCGTACCAGCCCATCCCCTTCAGCCAGTCTGGAAACCCCGTCATGAGCACAGTAGCCTTCCTGGCCTCCGTGGTCGACCCCAGAGTGGCGTCCGCTGCTGCAAAGGCAGCTCTAGGTGAGAACGAACAAACGAGAGCAGCAAAGATTTTCCAGTTTCACTACGATTGAATCAGTTTTTATCATAAGATGGCAAGTTACCCATTTGGGTAAAACTGCAAAATACTACACTGAAAATGATAGACGTGTTTCACAGTATCTGGTTCAGGAGATGGTAGAAGTTCAGAAAAAGATGAACCCAAACACATAATGATCTGCGGATAAGGCCGTTTGATTTTGCTCAACTAGTTTGTGATCCATCTTACTGTGTCAAACAGGGATTTGGACTCAGTTCCTGCAGAGAGGACGAGTTTTGATCAAATAAAAATGTTCAAGAAAACTCAAACAGTATAAAAGTTTTTAAAGTCTGTTTTTAAATTGAGGTTTATATTAAATGATAAACAGACCTGTTCATGTAACCTGGTTCACTTTGACGGCTCTATGTTTAATGTAGTGTGAGTGGGCCAGTGTGACATATGATGTAAAAGCTCTGAGTGGTCACATGACCAGAGAAACTCACTCCTTTAATAATGTAAACCACCTCAGGACGTCATTATGGTTTTTTTTTAAACAGTAGAAATTTAGAGTAACAGTTCATCATCCATTCATATCCATGAATATCATTTCATTTCTGTTAATCAGACTCTCCATATGTATGTCTCTCCTCAGAGGAGTTCTCCCGTGTGCGTGAGGAGGTCCCCGCTGAGCTGGTGGAGGCTCACGTGAAGAAGGTGCAGGAAGCGGCCAGGAGCACAGGAAAGGTGGACCCCGCTTTCGGGCTGGAGAGCAGCGGCATCGCAGGCACCGCCCCCGAGGAGCCGGAGAAGACAGGTGAGCTTCGGTTCTCCTGCATGTTGTTGCTCCTGCAGCCACTGGAGGGCAGCAGATAGGAGCAGTTGGAGAGGTAGAAATGATGGAGGAGATTCTCATGAGGAGGAGTGTGCAGTCAAACAGCTTTCCTCCCTCATCAGCTCGTAATCTTAATGTTGCGTAGTTTGGTCAATAATCTTGCATCCTGCTGAAAACACAACTCAGTTTGCTCAACAAATCACCAGAGGAGGGGAGTGTGAGTCATGGCGGCTCGGTCACATGAGCGAATGTGCTTCCTCTGCTGAGTTTAAACGCTCTGTGTGAAGTTTTTAACTGGTCAGAAAAAGACTTCTTTATGATCTTTAAGAGTAATAATAATATAATATTAGAAAGATCTTCAGGACTGTGCAGAAATTGTCTGTTTTGACCAGTTTAGATATTCACACAGGAACACAGTTTAGTTTTTCCCCTCTAAAAGCGAAGTACTTTAAATATACTGCGTGTTTTATGCAGAAACAGACATTTCTGGAGGTCATCTCAGACTGTGGTAAACACTGTAGTCATGATTTGGATCGATGACTAATCAAACGCTGGACTGATTAATGTAGAGGGCGATAAAACTGATGAATGAACGAATGAATGAACGGCACAGACAGTCTTTGAGAAGAGTTTACAGCTTCCTCGCTTTGCTGTAAAAATGACGGTGATTCTTCTCCTCGATATCAGGCAGGATGTGATTTTTTTTTTCTTTACCAGCAGTGGGAAGAGAAACAGAGAAATATTTGTGTGTGTGTGTGTGTGTGTGTGTGTGTGTGTGCGCGCGCATCCGTGGTAACTAGTGGATTAAAACAACAGTGGCAGATGGGGCAGGAGAGTGGGAGGAGGGGGAGCAGAAAACTGGGTCATCTCACTCTATCATTTTCAGATCTCTTTCTCTCTTTGCTTTCTTGAAATAATTCTCTCGCTTTCACTTTCACTTTCACTCCCTCTCTCTTTTCTCACTTTTACACACACACAGACACACACACAGACACACACAAACACACACACCCGTCACACCTGAATTGGTGCCCTCTGGAGCCTCATTCCTGATCAATAAGCGTAAATGTGTTCCAGCGTGAAGCACTCAACCGACACACGAATCATGTGATCAATATTCAAACCCTTGAACACTCAGCTGTATGTAGCACATGGATCAGCACATCATATCATCACGTGTGTGTGTGTGTGTGCGTGTGCGTCTTTGCTCTCGTAACTCTTCCCGCTCGCTTCAAAAGCCTTTGACCTTAATTTCGTGTCCTCAGTTTCTCCCGTTTATGTAAAATCTCAAACAGGATTTTGTGTCGCCGCTGCTTCACGCCGTTACACTCGTACCCCGAGTGTGTAGCAGAATGGTTTTGTTCGGTAATTTCTGCTTATGCATGCATGAACGCCATCTCACACTCTTCCTCACTCGTGTTGCTGCTTTTTGGGAGCATAAGGGCGAAACAATCGTAGGTAAAATTCAGTTTGTACGCTGTTAACAATCATTTCTTGTTTCATTGTAGAAACTCCAGAGGCAGAGAAGATGGACACAGACACAGACTCCCAGCAGGCGGACAAGGTGAGACAAAACTCTGAGTCGTGGTTTTCCCTTCATGAATGAAGGTGATCTCATGTGACGCCTACTGCAGCAGACACTTTCACTCAACTCTTCAGTCGTCATATTCTGGCTCTTGAGTCATAATCTAAAGTCTGCTGCCTCAGCGGACGATGAACCATAAACCTTTTTATATTAATACTGTGCAGCTACAAAGAATTTGACCCTTCACGCAGGATAAATAAATCTAATCCATGTTTTTTTTATCAAGTGTCATGGTAGTGATATTGGGGTGATATTTTTTGACACCAAATATACCGATATGTGCAAAATGACGTCGGTAATTGTCATAAATTTTGGTATTGGTACATTATCGGTTTATTGCCCAGCCCTATGCCATGGAACATCAGCAGATATCAGCTTGTTTGACAGACTTTGGCACATCTGCAAATGTGTCCTAGACGGATGTCAGGAGGTAATGAGATCAGTTCATAAGAACGTTCCAGAAAAACACCTGATCAGGATTGGTTAAATTGATGTATCAAACATAGATCAGCTCTGATTTTCCCAATCAGTGCATCTCTAGTGTTAATTTCAGTTGTATCGCTCAACGTGGGGCTAAACCTGCTCTGTAGCTTCAGATATTTAGATCTCATGCACTCATATTATCATTTTCATCGATCCTGTTTTGGCCTCAAATTTCTCAGCGATGTTATTTTGTTTTCACACATTTTCTCTCTCCCTCTCGGTGAGAAAAGTTCCCTCTTCCTCCTCCTCCTCCTCGTCGACACGTGTTGGTTCAGAAAGGCCCACAGGCTGAACTTAATGGGGTTTTTAAAATGTTCAATTTGTCCCGCTCTGCCAGGCAGCCTGCTGGCTGAGGACTTCCTCATTAGCATCCGTTTACCAGCGATCCTGTCCAAACGCCAGCAATCATCCCCAAAGTGGAAAGAGTCACAATGTGATCTATTGTTCTTTTAGCCTCCAGCATCGCAGCGTTAACCGACCTAAATGATCCCAAAAGCTTTGACGAGTTTACCCTCACTTAGTTTTACACCGCTGTGAAACTTTTACAACTTTTTTGCCCACGTCTCTTATAATTGTCTGACTTTCGGCTCTTAAGTTGAAACTACTTTCCTTAAACTCCTCAGTAGGACTTGACCTTCCTCCTCTTGGCGTTGACACTCATCATTTCGTGTGTGCGTCCTCTTATTTCAGGCGGAGTTGAAGGACGAGGCCGAGAAGCCGAGCGAGTCCGCAGAAAAGAGCGGCGACAAGCCTGAGGCCCCGGAGAAGGTGAAGAAGGAGGGAGCGGAGCCTTCAGAGCGCGAGGAGGAGAGCGAGGAGGGCGGAGAGGCCAAGGCGGCTCCAGCAGGTAACTCACTCTCTCCTACTGTGGATTTCTGTTTTTCATCATGTGTGCAGTTACACTGATTCAGCGATTTACTTATCTGAATCAGACAAAGACAAAGACGAGGCGATGGAGACGTCGTCCTCAGACCAGGAGAAGGAGAAGGATGAGAAGGCGACAGAAGAAGGAGAGGAAAAGAGGAAGAAGCTGGAGCACGACATCGGAGAGGGGAACATCGCCACGGCGGCGGCTGCTGCTCTGGCATCTGCAGCCACCAAGGCCAAGGTGAGACAAGACGAGCTTTCATGACCTGAAACCTGCTGGTCTTTAAAGGTTTTGATGGAAAATATATCACTAAGATCTCTCTTTGAAGACTCTAACCCCTCTCCCTCCGTTCCCTCAGCACTTGGCAGCAGTAGAAGAGAGGAAAATCAAGTCTCTGGTGGCTCTGCTGGTGGAGACCCAGATGAAGAAACTGGAGATCAAGCTGAGGCACTTCGAGGAGCTGGAGACCATCATGGACCGAGAAAAAGAGGCTGTAAGTCAGAAGAAGTTTTCCTGCGTATATTTAGTTAAAGCTCGGATTAAACGAGGACGCTGATCCTGTAGCTCCGCGTTGAGGTCTCCTCTGAGAAAGTTCTCCTCGCTGTGGTGGTTGATTTTAAAATGATTCGTTAACAAAACAATAATGGCCGCTCCTGACGTCCTTCACAACCATTTTTGTTAAAAATGTTGGAACCAGATGGCCCGCCCTCTCTTGATTCTGATTGGTCAGTGATTAAGAAGCGAATTTATTTTTTCCTACAACAAAAAAAGCCGAACTGTATTTAACTTGAGTAGAAGACAGGCGCCTCCAGTACATAAAACAGCGCCTCTAACGGGACAACTCCATTAAAAGGAATTATGGGTAGAGGGGTTTAAGGCGGACATTTACGATTCAAATTAACATTTAAAAAAAACACAAAGAAGAGAGTTTAGATTCGTGACAGTCTGTTTCCTTTCAGCATCAAAAGGTTTTTAATTTTTTTTCACTTTAAAATCAACTTCTCCACGTCTCAAACTGAGAAACTGTGAAATAAGTCGATATTTTCGGGGTTATCAGCCGCCTGTGTGAGGTTCACACTCTTCTTCCTACTTGGTCCAAATCTTCCACAGTAACCGAAGAGAAAAAAAACAGAGTTACTTCTTTCAGAGAGAAATAAAACATCTTCAGAGAAAACCAACTGAATAGCCGGGCGAGAGAAAGTGTTACCTGCCTCTCCAGGCCGAATGAATAACCCTCAGCTCTGTGTGTGGGTGTGTGTCCTGCCACTGGACGATCCCAGGAGACGGCACCGAGAGTGTAAAACTGTGTTTCTGCAGTGGAAGCATCAGGAGCGTAGCCCAGTTTCTGCAGCTGTAAATAGTGCATGAAAAGAACTCTGGTTTACATAAGCCCTCCAAAGGAGAGAGAGAGAAATCAGACCTCTGCTGCTGCTGCTGCCATCGGCTGTAAAACACCGAGAATAAAAAAACAAAGACCCACACAGAAGAAAAAAAAGAGAAACAAGACAGTTTTACACTCGGCCCTCACAAACCTGCACATGCATTATCTCCTCTGCAGTCAACAAGCGTGAATCTGGTCAACACTTAGACTTGTTTTTTTTACTCTCTGCAATCACCAAAAATATATTTTCTTATCCAGTTCAAGTTGAACGCAGTCATGCGGAGAAGTTGGGTTTCATGCTTTTACCCTGACCTCATTAAAAGATGCTCAAAGCAGTTTGTATCTGAACCAGAACTATTTTCTGTAGAGGAGAGTCACTAAGTTTCTGAAGAGGAGCTCCAACTTCATTATTTTATGGCTGTTTTTTTTTTTAGTTTTTTAGTGTGTCGGTTTCTTCTAAAGCTCGACTGACATGTAATACACATGTTCAAAACCCTGCCGAGTTTCTGCAGACAGATAATGAGGGAGTGAAATCAGTGCGGTGTTGTTGCCTTTTGTTTCTAAGTGGAAAAAAGTTTGTTTTCTTTGTTTGAATCTCATTATTGTTGCACTTATAACAAATGAAAAAAAAGGATTTCAGACTTTGTGCAGTTCAGCATTTTTCCGCTCACCTGCAGCTGAAAGTGTATAAAAGTCGTCGGTGAGTTTTCCTTTTGTCATTTTGATTTTCTTTTTTGTTGATTTCACATATCGATATTCCATCAACATTTTACATTTATTGATCAAATTTCCAACTGTAAAGAATATTTGCACACTTCTCCATCGTGGAGCAGAAAGCCTCTGTTTTTAGTCGAGATGATAAAGTCAGCTTCTCCATTTTATATATCGATCATTACCTCGACCCAATCCTCGATTTTTGGTGCAAATTTTTTTAGCCAATTTCTAGTCATGGCCTTTTTAGCCGTCACCAACATTATCTTAAATCTATATTTTTCTCCTGACGTCGTTATCTCCTGGTTCTCGTTTCCCAAACCTAAACCTTGTTTCATTTTGACTCACCGTCCTCCCGTCTCTCTCTGCAGTTGGAGCTCCAGCGGCAGCAGCTGCTCACCGAGCGTCAGGCCTTCCACATGGAGCAGCTCAAGTACGCCGAGATGAAGGCGAGGCAGCAGATGGAGCAACAAGCCGCCGCCGCAGCAGCCGCGGCCGCCGCTCAGGCTCAAGGACAGGGACAGGCTCAAGGACCTGTTCCTGGATCTGGACCCCATCCCGGGCCCCCTCCACCAGGTATGCACCCAGGAGGGCCTCAGCCACACCATGGAGCACCGGTGCCCCATCACGGAGGGCCGCCACCCGGTGGTGCAATGCACCCCGGCTACCCCCCAATGGGTCACCACCCAATGGCCCCACATCACCCAGGACAGACAGGTGAGAGTCCGAAACGCTGAATCCAGAGAGTCGACAAGAACTGAGTGATTTTAAAAGAATTGGAGTAAATTTTCAGTCTTCATCAATCATCAAAATTCAGCAACTTAAATTTATTTCACATCGCCACGTTAGTCGCCTCAAAAACCCAAAGACTTGTCATGTACGGTCATGAGGGAGTATCAAACATCTGTCTTTATTGCTTCACCTTATTTCCAATATTATATTTGAGACATAACGGACTTATTCTAAACTCTACAGGACCGATGGTACCAGGCCAGCCGATGCCAGGACGGATGATGCCCGGTCCTCCCCCCGCTGGCCCCGCTCCAGGCGGCATGCCTCCCATGATGCCCCCACGTCATCCTGGAGCTCCCAACGGCATGTGTGAGTACAAAAACACTCTCTGCCGCACTGTCCCATCATGTTTACACGTATATAAACCTGTATGTTTGCGCTCTCTCTGGTGTTGTGAACAAACCAGGATCGGTTAAAAAAGTGGTGATGCTTTTAGAAACGAGTGTTGACGCCACAAACAGCTCGAACAAATAAATGTACATTTATTATGTTTATTTCGAAGGAAGTAGGGAAATCCTGCTTATAGTTTAACACACTAACGGGGATTGAACCATTTGGAACCTGTTCCTGATTCCCCTGTTTATCAGGGAACCCCTCTCTCTAAATCCAGACTCCATTTGACCCCCTTTTAGTCCACCGTGGAGTCTCCTTTTCTTCATCAGTCTGTTTTTCTGTCTCTAAACTCCTCATCTGTCTCCTTCCAGATCCTGGCCCTCCACCTGCACAGCCTGAAGCAGTTCCTCCAGTTCCTGTGGGTCCTCCAGCGCCCCCTAGCTCATGAGTGACTCACAACTCAGACCTAACACACCCACACACCCACACACACACACAATGAAAGCACACACACACACGTATACACAAAACTATCTCTGAACCTCAGCCCCCCATCTTGACGGCCTTTGCTACTGGCTCTGTATTTAACGCTCATCACCCAAAAACCACCATAAACTTAATCACAGAACACACACATGTACACACACACACACACACACACACACACATACAGACTTCCTCTCAGGGCACAGCGGTAAGGGTGGCTTGTACTAAACACTGTTTTCGGCTCTGTTGGGTCAGAAGGAGGCCGGAGAGAACGACTCTGTTCAGACGACAAAAAAAAAAAAAAAAAAAAAACCTCTCTCTTACTTTTTTCCCTCTTTCCACTGAGTTTGAAACGACACTGTACCCCCGCCTCCCCACCCTCTTTCTCCTCCCATCACGAAGAAAAACGAGCGCCTCTTTCTCGTCTGCTGCCTGTTTCGAAGCCGAACACTAGAGGGAGCTAGTGAGACAAAAGGGCAGGCCAGGCATGAGAAGGTGAGGCGAACACACACAGATGAGGACAAAACACACAAAAACACACACACAGAGGGGGGGCCTAGCCTCTTGTCTTGTCGAGTATCTACCTCTCGCTCCTCTTTAAATGATACACTGTAGTTCTGTGTGTGTATGTGTGTGTGTGTGTGTATGTATGTGTGTGTGTGTGTGTTCAGGATCGCTGTTCTTCCTCTTTCGACTGAACCTTGTGGCTCTTTTACGTCACAAATTTAAGTTTATCTCCTCTTCCAGCAGTGAAAACTGGAGCTGAGCTGTAACCTTAAACTGATTCGATGTACATTTCTAAATTATCTTCACTTTCTGTTACGTAGTCGTAGGATTTCTTACTTTTCTATAATATGGATCGGTTTTTTAAAGCTCCTGTGAGTACCTCGGTTTGTCATTTCAGTCCAACTTGTGCGCTTATTTTGTGACAAAAAATCTCCTTAATCTGACTTTTGACGGTTAAATCGATCATTTATAAAATATTTTATGTTGAAATTGTAAAAAAAAAGAAAATGTCTTTAGCTCCCACCAAAAGCATTAAAAATTCCAATTCCAATATTGAATGTGGTCTTGTTTGCTTCCTTATACCATAAAAGGGCATCCATATGAATTTCACACACTCCTCACGGGAGCTTTAAGACTGAAATGGTTCATAAATAGACAGTAAAATGAAATGTTCCTGAACAGCTGTGTGTCTGTCGTTGTCGGTTAATGTCACTCAAACAGGAGCGGATTATGAAACATCTGCTCTCCGGGCTGCGGGATGGTAAATGTGGGATTTACCGGCCGTAACGGAGTGTTTGTGTAGTAATAATACTGAAGGAACGTGCAACAGTGTGGTGCGTTTTTGATGCTCTACGATGCACCTGAAAAAGTCTGAAAATTAGAGGAAGAACAGACGGCTCCTCCCGCCTCACACTCTCTCTCTCACACACACACACACACACACACACACAGAAAAGTAAGCTAAGCCGAGGCTCACACTGGAGGCGGCGTGCACACGACAACTTGGCCAGACCCTGCCACAAAGCACTGGACAACCACACACAAACACGCTCATGTAAACACACAAACAAACACACACATGTACGTTTAATCTCCTGCTGAACTCCACGCAGCCTTTATAGAGAGGGAGACGCCGTGACGCGGCTCAACTGAGACATCCAAACTCGAATGACGCTCCTCCTCCTCAGCGCGGCGGGCTTCTAGATGTTCTTTAGGTGCTGATACTGTAGCGAATAAAACCCCCGTCCCCTACCCCCTTAACTTCTCGCACCTCTGCTTACAGTTTCCCCAACGCTTACTGCCGCCTACCTCGCTCGCACAGTCTATCACTAACGCCACGAGACACGGGAAAACAAGCAATATCCTCATTCCTGTGAACCAGTCTTTGTGGACGTAGAAACACTCTGCCACCAAACAAATCAGAGCTCAAATATTCACTCATCAATCAGCTGATTCTCATTTTTTGATTTCAGGTTAAAACTTTTTAATTTGAACATTTTTTAAAGGCACATTTCAAAGATTTTTATGCCTCGACTCGCCACAAAAACAACCTATTTATTTAAATTCAATGTGGATTAATCAAAACCAATATAGTCCCCATCATATATGGCTTATATTAACTCAGTATGAATTCATTTTCAGATGCAGCTGATATCCTGCGTCTTTCCTATACAACTCTTAGACTCCGCCCTCTTTTTCGCTCGCACTGTTAGTACTTCTGCTACCTCTTCCTGGTTCATCTGCTAGCTACCTCTTCTAGAAATCTTCCTCTCGCTCTCTGCTACCTCTCTGCGCACCCCTTCGCTACCTCTCGTCCCGTTTCCTTTTCTTTTATCTACTCCCCCCGCCCACGTGACTGCTGCATCACCCACTCCCGCCGCCCTCTTCTCCCCGTCTGTCGGAGGAAGATCAGACATTAAAAAATAAGAAAACCAACGCCACACCTTCAGTCATTTGACACGCCCTCCTTTCTCATTCAGGCTTGTTATAAAGATCACTTAAATATGACAGGAATCCCCCAACATATATTATTATCTTTAATCGCTACTTCTTGTGTTCATGGTAATGTATTTTTAAGGAGAAGTTTTGTGTAGATGGAAGTTATCTCTGTTCTTTGGAAGTTTGTAGCATTTGTTTTCCTTTTTTATTTTGTATGGGGTCTGTTGGTACTTGGACCTAGACACTGTCGAATAAACTGTGTTTTGTATGAAGTTGGTGTCCTGATTGTTTCTGATTTCATCTCAATATTTCCTCTCAAAAACATTTAATCCAAGCAATCATAAAATTATGATGCCATTATGGATCTTTTTATGTAAGAATACGATTTTCGTCGTTTTCTTCTGCTTCATCCTGGTCCGGGTCGCAGGGGCAGCAGCTTCAGGAGGGAAGCCCAGACGGCCCTCACCCTGGCCACTTCCACCAGCTCCTCCAGGAGGGGATTCCCAGGCGCTCCTAGGCCAGGTGAGAGACATAATCCCCTCCACCTGGTCCTGGGCCGTCCATGAGGTCTCCTTCCGGTGGGACATGTCCGGAACACCTCTAACGGGAGGCGTCCAGAAGGCGTCCTAACCAGATGCCTGAGCCACCTCAGCCGACTCCTCTCGACGTGGAGGAGCAGCGGTTCTACTCTGAGCGCCTCCTGAGTATCCGAGCTCCTTACCCTATCTCTAAGGCTGAGCCTGGCGACCCTGCAAAGGAAACCCATTTCGACCGCTTGTATCCATGATCTTATTCTTTCGGTCATCACCCAAAGTTCATGGCCATAGATGAGGGTCGGCACGTAGATCGACCGGTAAATCGAGAATCTCACCTTGCGGCTCAGCTCTTTCTTCACCACGACTGATCGGTCCCCATCACTGCTGACGCCGCTCTGATCCACCTGTCGATCTCCCGTTCCATCCTGCCCTCACTCGTGAACAAGATCTCGAGATACTTGAATTCCTCCACTTGAGGCAGGACCGCCCCTCTGACCTGGAGAAGGCAATTTACCTTTTTCCGACTGAGGACCACGAAGCCAGAAGTACCACATCATCCGTGAATAAGATTTTTAAAACAATAAATTCTTAGTAGTAGTAGTTGTAGTAGTCGTTTATTCAGACATGACAACACCAAATATTGTACAGAGTATAGACATTTCACACAAAATCACTAAATCAAGATTCATGTGTTGAATACTGGCAGAAGCAGACTGCTTATAAAAGCCTTAAAGTCTTATTGATTATATGCATAGCTTGTTTTTGCAGTTTTATTATTGAATTTATAGTAGTTTTAAAGGTGGATGCCCACAGTTCCACACAGTAAGACATATAGAGAACAATCAATGAGTAGTAGATCAAATAGAAGGCCTTGGAATTTAATACTTTTCTCAATTCGTACAGGATTGCAAGTGATTTTGAAATTTTCCCTTTTATGTATTTAATGTGTTGTTTCCATGTTAACTTTTGATCAACAACAACCCCAAGAAATTTAGTCTCAGTAACTCTTTCAATGTCAACATTACAGATTCTTAATTTAACACTACAATCACTTTCATTTAGATTCCCAAAAACCATACATTTTGTTTTTTAATATTTAAAGATAATTCATTGGCATTGGGATTTTCAAGTTCCGTTTCTACACAACACAAAAGTTCCTTTAAATTCTTATCGGGGCAAGACAAATTGGTATCACCTGCAAATACTACATATCTAAAAAATCTGTTACATTGCAGATGTCATTGATATAAAGAATGAACATTATTGGACCAATCACTGATCCTTGTGGTACGCAGCAATGACAGTATCATTATTTGTCTACACATTCTCACAATACATTACTTTTTCTAGTCCTTTCAGGTCACGAATCTTCACTCATTTAAATAAAGCGAAGAATAAATTAACTGAAGAAAACAGATGAACTGCTTTGACCACAGGGGGCGCCAGAACTGACCCAGAATGAAGTTGTCCAATTTTTTGACCTAATGCATGTTCCTCAGGAAAAATTTGAACTTCTTATCTGAACAAAAGTCGAGGGGAAGATAATGTAGGATCACAGAAACTGCAAAGTGTACCAAAAAACAAGTGGCAGAAATACTGCAAAGGTGAAAACAAATTTTACCTTTACCTTCATCGTGAACTTTTCAGTGTGATAAATGTGAGAAAACTAAAAAAAAAAGGCAGTAAACCCACTTTTTCTGTCAACAAACTTTCGAAATTGAGTTTTTACTCTCAATACTTAAAGCTGCTATTGGAAACTGTTGGTCTCTATTGGTTTTGGCGCCTCCCCGGTGGACACAGCAGTCTAAAGAGTCATCATTCAGACTTTAGATTGTTAAATGTGTCATTTATTGTAAATATTTGGGTTGTTTCTTCAGCTGCTCCTCCGTCACCTACCCCTTCACTTCAGTTTCAGACAGTATATAAAATCTTTGTCATGATGTTTCAGAATTTCAGTCGATTTTACAAACATAAAAAATCACTAACAGGATCTTTAAATTAACCAAACCCTGTATATTGAGACCATACCGGTCACACAGTCACCTGCAGTCAGATACTGTATTTGATAAAGATTGAATTTCACTTCAGAGCCATTAGATTACTCTCTCGAATCAACATCGAAGACGCCCTCGAACACGGTCCTGGGGTCTGGTCTGATGGCGGCAGTTGAGGAGTGAAGGTGTGCTCAGTGTGAGCTCCTTTTTTTTTCTAGTGTAAATTACTGTGATGTTGAAATGATAAAATAACAAGATCTTGCTGCTGTTTTAATCCCACCCTGCTCCACGCCCACTCTGTAATCTGAGGGGAGAGAGGGAGGAGGTCTCTGTCCGGCAGATTGACCATGAGGGCATGAGGATGTTATTGAGAGGATGAGGAGGCAGAGGGTGATTACAGGACTCCCGATGTGGGGGGATGGGGAGTTTTTAATGACTGTTTTTGTGTCAGAGGAGCAGATGATGACAGCAGTCAGTCATTTAACGCTCTGATAATTGTGAGAGTGCAGAGAAATTCAGTATATGTAGCTCACAATTTTAATGTGCATCTTTATAGTGAGACACTCTGAAGACAGACGAGCTGTTTACCAGAGAGGCTGAAAATCTGACCACTTTACATTTCGCTGATGCCTCAACTGAGAATATCTGACAGAAAGTGAGAGGAGAGGCTCGACTGTTTTACACAAGGGCCTTTAAACCTGACACACGAGCTCAAACTATGACCTCTTTTACGCTGACGGCCTCTGCTTCAATGTTTTTATATTTTTAGGGGCTTCGCTCGTCTTTCTCGCTCGTTTGATAGATATGAGCGAGGTTGACGTGTGTCTATTGAAATTTGTCAACGATGAAGTCCAGATGTAAGTGTAGTTTCTTTACCATCAGTTAGTCACACTTCAGGGCAGGAAAAAGATCAACCACAGGTTTTTGCAGACGTAAAATGGGAAGACAAAGGCTGATAATGTTATAATCACAATTTATAAATAGGTCTGTAGCTGTTTCCTTAACCTGGCCTCTCATCCAATAACAGCTGTGATAGGCTCCATCCTCTACCCTGCAACCCTGACCCAAATCAACAAATTCAAATTCAACTTTATTTGTATGGCCAAACAGAGGCTAAAAACAACAATTAACGACAATAAAAACTCAACCCTCCCACCCACACACACACACACCCATGGACCCACATGCACACAAAGGCACACATCCACCCTCACTCACTCACCCACACATACACACACACAACCACACTATAGGGCGCTAACGCTTTTCTGGTCCGAGTTTGATCAGTCAGTCTTCCTGTCGGCATAAAGAGCAGTAGCCTACAGTATATCGACAGTATATATTTTATAACATAATAAAAAATTTTTAAAATCGGCCAATTAATCGGCAGTCTGATTTTTTTCCTCCCTAATAATCGGTATCGGCCCCAAAAAATCCATATCGGTCAGGCCCTACCACACAGTGTGAGAATTTAAGATATTTTGTTAGAGACGTGGCCTGACAGCGAGACGTTTGGTGAGGAAAGAGCGACCTTTGGGGAACACTGGAGATAAAAATAGAAATAAAAATAGTAAAAAGAAAGACTAAAACCTGATGGACTAAAACAAGAAAATAATGTTAAATGAACAGATAAATAAAGGTTTTTCATCATATAAAAAAGGTGTAAAAGAAGCAAAAACCTGTGACGGAATTAAGAAAAAGACGAAGAACGGAGGTAATTAATAACATGACATAAAATAAACAAGAACTTCGATTAAAATGAACATTTGCAATAAGAGAAATATAAAAAGGAAATTAGTAAAAAGCCTGGTTAAAAAGGTGAGTCTTGAGCCTCTTCTTAAAAACAGTACAGATAATATCTATATGAATTTATAGTAACACTCCCTCTGTGCTCTCTCTGTCCCTCTGCTTCACTAACACACACCTTATCCTCATGCTCTCTGATTGCTTTGCTGCTGATAGTTTTCACAGGTCATTCTGAGACAAAACACCAGGATTGGTTTTTCCTAGTCTAGTCCTGTTTTGGGGTAATGAACTTGCAAATAATCCATCACTGCTCCATCTGATAACATTTCTGTATTTATTTCCACTTTTAAATTCTTCATTTCTCACTAATTATGAACTTCCTGTGTTTGCAGCTGAGGTCTTGAGTGTGCAGACCTCCTGCTGCTGTAGAGCGTAAATAAACAAAGCTGTGGGTGGATTTAGACACATCATTTTTGTTAAGACACATGATAAGTCGTGAAATTCATCGCCTCTCGTTCCTTTTCGCTCTTCTCAGCTGAAGACCTGAATAGCCGTGTCTCTGTATGTTCACACTGAGCATGTCCTTAGTTTGTGTCCCATCATGTTTCATAATTAACACACTCGCTCCCTCCAGCCTCCCACATCTGCACTAAATCTGCCACTACTGATGAGCTTTACACTTTACAGCTCAACCGTTCTCTTTCTCCTTCTCTGTATTTTATGCATCACATTTCTGCTCGTGTCTCACTCTTTCACCTCAGATGTCACCTTCCCTCTCAGATGTGTCCTCGTGTTTCATGTTTCAGATGCGTTTCAACAGGCTGTTTCACTGATTTCACGTTTTGTTTTTTTTCCTGTGTGTTTAACGTGTGTGCTTTGAATCCTGCAGCAGCTGAGCCGCTTCAGGTCCTTGCCCTTTTGTTGGAGGAGCTTGTTGCTATAGCAATGGTCCCTTAGTAACAGTTCTGAGCCTGTGGCGCCCGGCTTTCTGTCTGACAGGTAGGTGAGAGAGGCCAAAGGCTCAGATGGTTTTACGTGCTTTTGGTATTTTAACCACCTGAAGCACAGAGATGAGTTGAACACAGTTTTGCTGCTAGAGAGAAAATGATGTTTAAACACTGCAGTGAACTGCCCACAATTAGGGTCTATTTCCACTGAATGCATACAGGGGCAGAAGAGTCTATTCCCAATACAACTGAACATATAAAGGTAATTTGCAAACTTACAGAGCAACCAAACAAACATTAAAAGGAGAAATAAGTTCATATATATTATCCCTGAATTTGTATGTGTGTGCACAGTAGCGTGTGTGTGCATCAGTATTTATGAGTGTGTGTCATAAAATATGTAAAAGGCTAAAGTAGGGCAGCAGTTCACAGCACCACAGGGGCTTGTGGGGTGACAGAGCCATGCAGACACCTCCCTTTAACCCTCCACTTTGACTTCCTTTTACCCTCCTCTGCCTCCTTCGTTCATCCTTACTTGGTCTCTTAATTGGGAAGGTTTACTGATAGCAGCCTCTGCCATCATTGAGTCTAACGTGTAACGTAAAAGCACTATACAAATCCAGTCCATGAATATTTTTACCATTTTCCTCCTCTCCAGTCTCCTGGTAAACTGTAAACTGCACCAGTTTCTGAAATTGAAGCCAGGAGGGGTCAGTTTTATTATGCAATTTAAAAAAAGTCACACACAAACCTGAAAGTGTCCCCCTATCTGACCAGCACTAAACTGATGGTAGAGTTGACCCTGTTGGGTCTGAGTTGATCAGGATCCACTAACAATAATTACACTTATTCTCTTATTCAACCCTATAACTTTTAGTGAAAGTAACTTTGGTCTCTGCAGGTTTTAACAATTCAAATTAAGACTTTTTTTATGTGATGATGAATACAATTAAAAGGTGGGGTAGGCAGGATTCTGTGAGAGAAGCATCTTTTTTTGTTGTGTATATATAAAAAAGCTTTGAATATCAGTCAATAGGTATTAGTTATTGATGAAATTTGGCAGTAATACAATATCTCTGTATTTTATTATGTCTGTGTGATCAACATTTTCATTTTTTGAGCGGCCCGCTCTTTCTGACTGTAAACAAAGACATTTTCCGCCTCCCCCAACCTGATTGGTTGTGAGGCGGACGCTGCTCCCCCGTGTCGTTCACGAGCCCAAACAAAGTTAATGTGCTACAATATCGGACAGTAGAAACCAACCAGAAAGTTCGGAAAATTGTCTGAATCCTCCTTTGGCCACGACTGCCGACACAAGCAAGAAAACAAAGTAAATACCGGAGACTCTGTTGGAATAACGGGCGCTTAAAAAGGAGGATGGAGGACCGCTTTAACAAAGTAAGACAAGTGTCTGTAACAGAAGTGTTTCTTGTCAAACGGACCTGCTGTAGCGTGTTGTAGCGCCATCGCTAAACTGTTGACCTCGGGTCCTGGACTATGTCACTTTATCCTAGTTGTAGAAGTCCTGCAAACATTGTGTTTGCTGGTAGTCTGTTGGCATCTACAGTAGCACCAATGCTTTTGACTTTCACCTTGGCTGGGCCCCATTTGTCATTATCTGAAGTATTTATCTGCATTATATCTGAATTTAATTGGAACGATACGAGCGAGCAGGAGCGTCTGTGGGCGGGGCTTGCTGGAGCAGAGAGGGAAGGGAGAGGAGGAGCTGAGGAGAAAACTGGTTGGGAGGGGTAGAGTTTACATTCAAGATTTCTTCCATACTGGAAATTCCTCAGATCCTGCCTAGCACACCTTGAAGACCCAATTTACATCCATATTGGCAAAAAATTAAAAAAAAAAATGTGAAAGGGAATCGGAACATTTTACATCATTTCAATCTTTATTTGTAAGTAAAGTTAAAACATTTAAGACCTTTCAAAATTGTATTTAAGACATTTTATGAAATTTTAAGCAAATTTAGACATTTTAAGACTTAAATTCAAAGTATTGGATTTTAGACGTAAGACTTTTTATGACCCCACGGATACCCTGTTGACAGAAAGCAGTTAGTTTGGATTCTTAAATGCTACATAAGGACAGAGCTTGTCTCTTATTGGCTGCTGGAAGAGCATGCGCCATGTTAGGGGCTACATTCTGGTTAGTTTGGATGTTAGGGTGTACCAATCGGTGGCATAAATGAACTAGTTTGAGTGTATGGTTTGGCACAACAGGGTTGAATGTGTTTCCAGTATTTAAACAATAACGTTGCTATGGTTACGAGATCAAGGACAGCTCTATAATTTAAAAAAAAAGAATGTCCTCTGATGTCATGACATCACTATGACATCATCTAGAATCAAGATCTTTGAAGTGAGGAAGAAGGGACTTAACGTTCACGACTTTAACTCTGCCTACATTTAACTGAACAATTTCCGTTCGATCCACAAGTCATTTTGAGTTTCAAGACTTCGACTTTACACGGGTAAAATGGTAAGAGGGTTTTTATCAATTATTTTTTATAGCCTTAATTCGTAACAAATTTCAAGCTGCAGAAGAAGTGCGCTCAAACATTTTCAGGCTGCGAAGTCAAACTGAAAAACTTGAGTCAATGTTTATCAAAGCGCACCGTTCTTAATAAATTCACTCAATCAAAATATCACAAAAACAAAGTTAACATGCAGTTTAAAACCACCTGATTTTATGTTTTCTTAAAAACAGTTGCTTTTGCTTTTGTCTTTATGCTGCCTACTTTGTAATGTAACAGTGCTAATTTAAAAACGGCGGGTAATTATAGTTGTTATAATTAATGGTTAAGTGTGTAACTCGTTAAGTCAACACAGTTAATCTGAAGATTAGAAGAAATAAAAGTGATAGATGGAATTCACAGCCAGATTAACAAAAATTAACTCAAAGTTCAGTGAAAGAAAATCTACAAAATCTGACACTCAAATTGTTGTCTATAACCTTTTTTTTTCTTTCTTTCTCCAGACTTCATACAGAAACCAAACAAACTATCCATCCTCATCTGATGACAGGAGCGACACTCAGGCTTCCTCCCAGTCTTCAGATGAATACACTCAAGATTTCCTGGGTGCCCTCTCCTCCCACTACATGATTCACTCGTATTTGGGGGAGGGCTATTTTGGGAAAGTAGCCAAATGTTCAAAGACAGCCACTAAAGAGATCGTGGCAGTCAAGGTCATAAAGGACGAAGAATTCACAGCTGAGGCAGAGAACGAGGTACAGAAACACACACTTGTCTATTGAATTTCCCTTTGGGGATTGATAAAGTTATTCTTATTCTTACATTCATTTATTTGATTACACTTTAACCCGCTACGTTCAATATTTTATGATCTAACATCTCACACCTTTCCCCTTTAGATGGCAATTCTACAACTGCTGAAACCTTTTGACGCGGACCGGTACAACTTCGTCAAATCCCACGACTACTTTATGCTCTCAGGATGCTATTGTCTAGAATTTGAAATGTTAGACATAAATTTATGGGAGTACGTAAATAAGACACCGACTTTGTCTCTCAGGCTCAACCAAATCAGACCCATCCTGTACCAGGTATGTGCTTCTTTTGTTTTCATTTGATGATCTGATTAACAGATTTGACAAGGCAAATTTTGTATTTAATGTATAAGATTAGAATAGATTAGTTTAGATGAGATTAGATATGATTAGATTAGATACAACTTTATTTATTTTTTTCCCTCAAGGAAATGAAATGAAATTATGGGTAATTTTGAGAAAAATCTGTTTTCATGTCTGTTTTGTCACTTCAGGTGGGAATCACTTTGGAATTTTTGAAGAGCCAAGGGTTAGCACATACAGATTTAAAACTGGATAACATCATGTTAGTGGACCACGTGAACCAGCCATTAAAGATAAAGGTTATTGACTTCGGATTAGCACGCCATGTTGCCCATACATCACGTGGTGATACTATGCAGGCAACAATTTACAGGTGAGCAAATGGAAACATGGCATAAAAGCAATCAATAGTGATTCGATGTGTTTTTACTGATAAAGGATCCAAACAAACAGTCATACTAAAAATGTTATTACTTCTCTTTTAGAGCTCCAGAGGTCATCGTGGGATCTTCAGTCAACACATCCATTGACATGTGGTCTTTGGGCTGCATCGCAGCAGAGCTGTTCCTGGGCGACGCCCTTTACGGAGGAGACTCCGAGTACAACATGGTAAATATGTTCATCAGCCGAGTTTATCCAAGCGAGCTATCTCTTTAAAATCACATCAGGCAATGTAAAAAAAAAGGTGAAAAAAAGATGAACTAACTCTTTAAATTGTTTTGTCCCAACAGTTACAACTGATGCAGCACACTCAGGGTCGCCTCCCACAGCAAGTTCTCAAAAATGGAATCAGAACAAAATATTTTTTCAAGAAGAGGAGAGGGAAAGGCAAACGATGGAGATTAATGGTACGAACACTGAGAAATTGGTCTTTTTTTCTAAAAATTCACTCATTCACTCTTTTTGCTCACTATATTTGGGAAAAATCAATCTAACCAAATGTTATTTTTCTTCAGTCCCCCAGTGAATACAAACCAGCAGTCGTTCCTGAGATGCGGTTCAATTCCCTGGATGACATAAAGAAAGTTAGATCCATTTGTCACTTGTCAGATGAGGATACCAGAGCAGAGGAGGAGGACCTGGACAACTTCGTGGAACTACTGAAGCAGATGCTTCATCTGAACATCAACAAACGGATCTTACCCAGCCATCTTCTGCAGGATCCATTCCTCACCATGGTCGACCTAGCAGACAACTTCCCCAACAGCTTCTAGTAAGTCCATAAAACCAAACCATCTGATATTCCTCATTTGCCCTGAGAGTTAATTGTCTGTCTTAATCAACGAAAAAGATGCTAATCTATTGATTGTTCATTTCTTCCAGTGTGAAATCAGGTTTTGAAAATATGGAAGTCTGCAAAGACCAGAAGGTTCAGTCAGCCCAGCAGCCCTCCACCAGCACGGCCAGTCCAAAGAAAGACACATACGACCAAGTTACCCCAGCCTGGCATAGACACCAAGAGCATCCCACCATACTGGAGGTTCCACCTGCCACAGGTCGATTAATACAAGAACAAAAACGGAAGAGAGACGATTTTGAGGACAATCAGACAGGTTACATGTAGGTGTAATATATCTAAATTTCTTCTGCTTTAACCTCTGTAACTGTAAAACATGATATTTGTAGCTAAATTCAAGAAACTAAAACGAGATTTGTTCTTTGCAGAAGCCCAGAAAACAAGAGGAAAAGGATCAGGATCGACCATCAAACCCAGGCAGAAAGAGGTAAGCTAATCTTTGGCAATATCCCAAGGACTTTTATTTTTTTTTTTATAAATGTATGCGAAAAGTCAGACTTTAAAATAAATCTGCCTGTATGAGACATTTCCCCATCAGTCTTATCAAAAACCTCTCACTGGAGCTTTAATTCTGTAATCATAAAACTATTGTTTCTCTTTATTTAGAGAAACAATTCACATTTTGCTAGCTGAAGACCCTCTAATTTAAAATGCACTGTAACATCATATTTTTAATTTTCACTTCTTTTCAGATTTACCAAACAACACCAAAGAGGTTCCAGTTGAGGTGACATCAAACGCTAATGAAGCAAAGCCTACAAGAAAGAGGACGCGGGCCACTGTTTCAGCTGCAGAAGATGGACCAAAGTGAGTGCTACAAAACCTTTCAGTGCTGGATATAAACTATGAAATTATCATATTATTGTTATTATTTTTATTATTATTAGAGGAAATGAAGTTCAGGAGATTAACCCACATTTGATTTATTCAGGGAGCCAGCCTTGAATTTACCAAAGGCTAAAAGGATGAAGGTGACACCGATCCATGACCAGACTGACAACCTGGACAATAAGCGTGAGAACAAACCCACGAGAAAACGGACGCGGGCCGCTGTTTCAGCTGCAGACGATGGACCAAAGTGAGTGCTGGATATAAACTATGAAATTATCGTATTATTGTTGTTATTATTATTATTAGAGGAAATGAAGTTCAGGAGATTAACCCACATTTGATTTATTCAGGGGGCCAGCCTTGAGTTCACCAAAGGCTAAAAGGATGAAGGTGACACTGATCCATGACCAGACTGACAACCTGGCCAATAAGACTGAGAACAAACCCACAAGAAAACGGACGCGGGCCACTGTTACAGCTGCAGACGATGGACCAAAGTGAGTGCTTTAAAACCTTTCAGTGCTGATATTAACTATAAAATTATCATATTATTGTTATTATTATTATTGTTAGAGGAAATGAAGTTCAGGAGATTAACCCACATTTGATTTATTCAGGGAGCCAGCCTTGAAGTTACCAAAGGCTAAAAGGATGAAGGTGACACCGATCCATGACCAGACTGACAACCTGGACAATAAGCGTGAGAACAAACCCACGAGAAAACGGACGCGGGCCGCTGTTTCAGCTGCAGACGATGGACCAAAGTGAGTGCTGGATATAAACTATGAAATTATCGTATTATTGTTGTTATTATTATTATTAGAGGAAATGAAGTTCAGGAGATTAACCCACATTTGATTTATTCAGGGGGCCAGCCTTGAGTTCACCAAAGGCTAAAAGGATGAAGGTGACACTGATCCATGACCAGACTGACAACCTGGCCAATAAGACTGAGAACAAACCCACAAGAAAACGGACGCGGGCCACTGTTACAGCTGCAGACGATGGACCAAAGTGAGTGCTTTAAAACCTTTCAGTGCTGATATTAACTATAAAATTATCATATTGTTGTTATTATTATTATTAGAGGAAATGAAGTTCAGGACATTAACCCACATTTGATTTATTCAGGGAGCCAGCTGTTATGACTGTGGTCATAATTTGTGGACTGTCTGCTGTGTGTGTGTGTGCCCTGTGTTTTCTTGTGTCAATCTTATATGCAAATAGGTGTGTGCCACAGCAACGCGGTCATTGGTGGGTTGGTCTACGTCCTGGATGGTGATTGGCTGAGACCAACTATATGAGGAACCAAGATGGCAGCCACCATGTGCAGGGCAGAGGCCAGGCATTCCTCATCCTCCTCCTCTCCCAACAGGCCACCCTATTTGCAGCTTTAGAACATGGTGTATTGTGTTGTGTTTTTCTTCAGTAGTAGGGGTGGACTGCCAGTTTTGTTAACCTTATTTTCTCCTGTGTATTTTAGTTAGGGAGGTAAGTCTTTGTCATTTGTTTCCTTTGTTTTGGTTAGGTAAGGACTTACTCCACAGACAGGATTATTTTTGGTTGTTGTTTTGGCCTTGGTCCACCCTGAAGCCTAGTCATTCAGCCTTAGTTCTTTTGTCTATCTTTTGTTATTTACTGATTTATGTAAATAAATCTGTGTTTTTAAATTGAACTGAATCTCGGTTGTTGTGGCTACTTGGGACTTGGGGAAGATGAGGCCTTCTCATGTTGTGCCCTAGGCACCCCTAGACTGGGGCGTAACACAGCCTTGAAGTTACCAAAGGCTAAAAGGATGAAGGTGACACTGATCCATGACCAGACTGACAACCTGGCCAATAAGCGTGAGAACAAACCCACGAGAAAACGGACGAGGGCCACTGTTTCAGCTGCAGACGATGGACCAAAGTGAGTGCTTTAAAACCTTTCAGTGCTGATATTAACTATAAAATTATCATATTATTGTAATTTTTATTATCATTGTCAGAGGAAATGAAGTTCAGAAGATTAACTAACATTTGATTTTTTTTGGAACCCAGACTTGAGTTCACCAGAGGCTAAGAGGATGATGCCGATTCCCGACCTGAAAGCCTACCTGACTAGTGAGACTGAAAAGAGACCTAAGAGAAAGAGCACATGGGACACTTTTCAAGCTTCACATACTGGCCCAGGGTAAGTATCATGTTGTTTTTTCTTTTATTATTGTGATTTAATTTGAAGTTCAATAAATTAACTCAAGATTTTGTTCTTGCAGAAGGCCACAGACCAATTCTCCACCGAGGAAGAGGAGGAAAGTGACTGAGGATGAAAATGGCTAAGGTAAGCTCATCTAGGGCTCCTGTTCAATCACTGTCATGTAAAAAAATTATATATTCAGGATGAAGTTTGATGAATCAGCTGGTTATTGTAAGATGCAGTGATCATGACAACATTATCCTCTTATTTTGGCCCACAGAGACCTTGGACCTTAGTTTGCATGTTCTCCCTGTGTTTGCGTGGGTTTTCTCCGGGTGCTCCGGTTTCCTCCCACATCCCAAAAACATGCATCCCACAGCGCTCACAACAGCCCAGTCCCCACGCACCAAAGCAGTCCCTCCCAGCTACAGTTAGAGGAGACATGTGCTCTCTAACTTCACCCCTAACCCTAATGACAAAAAAAAAAAAAAAAAAAAACCTCGGTAACTCCGCCAATTTTAAAAACAACAAAATTAAATAATCAAGACAAAGAAAACAACTTTAATGCTTAAAATTGAGCAGGTGTCGACTTTAAAATCAAACGGCTTTCAAACTTTTACCTCCACTTCAAATACGACCCATTTAATGTTTAATCATTTCAAAACTATTCATATTTTACTGAATTTGACACTAAAGGTCCTTACACACCGGGACCATTTTTGTTGTGCGATTATTTCGGACGTCAATATTTTTTTTCGAACCCATATCCTGTCAATACAAGCGTTCACATCAGCAACGTTTTCCTGTCCTGCGATATTGCGGCATTTATTTTTTCGACGCTATGACTCTCCACAAGTTGTCCTTCACGTCGTTATCTTTGTAATATTTGTGTTTTTTATCATAAAGCACTCTGTTCTCTGACACGTAAACAATCAGCCAGTCGGCCATGTTGGATATACCGGTGAATCAGACGTCGCAACAACACACAATCTGATTGGTCAGAAGTGGACACACAGTCTGCGAAACTTTAGAAAAATCGACTGTGATCTCAAAAATAAACGCTGCAATATCGCAGGACGGGAAACCGTTGCTGATGTGAACGCTTGTATCGACAGGATACCGGTTTGAAAATAAATATTGACTTCCGAAATAACTGCAGGAAAAAAACAGTCCTGGTGTGAAAGGACCTTAAGATTTCTCTGGCCTCAACTTACATCCAATTCCCAAACACGCATCACCAACAAGCCAAAATAAAAGGATTTCACGCCATTGCCAGATCCCCAAACATAATTGGAGCCATAGATTGCACCCACATCGTAATAAAAGCACCTGCACACAATGAATTCAATTTTGTGAACAGAAAAGAATTTCATTCAATCAATGCACAAATAATCTGCGATGCACATCTATTAAAAGTTGTTGCCCGGTGGCCTGACTCATTCATTCTGCAGAACAGCTCTGTGAGTGTGCACCTCCATGATTTTGGTGAGGGAAAAAATCTATTCACGCATTTTTAAAGGGATTGTTGATACCATATATGGTCATCTGGAGGCGTTTCTGAATGCGAATGACCTGAACTATGCACAAGCACGCTAGTAAAGAACAGGTGGGACTTATTAGACGTTTAGTAGATGTAAGTTAGATTTAGTAGATGTGTGTTAAATCATTGATTAAAAATAATGAAAATAAATAAATAAATAAAAACTATAAAAATAAAAAGAACATTTTGGGTGTGTTTTGCTTTTCATTTCATGTTTCTTCAGGTTATATCAATGCTTATTTTTTCTTTGAGGAGTCAGAACTGCAGTTTTGTCCTCAAAATGGGTGTAATAGTCCTTTATAAAGTCAATGAAAGTGTGATTCTGGGTTGGAAGTGTCCACCAATGTGGGTAAATACAAGTATTTTCTTCCACTATCAATCAATTAATTATTTATACAGTGCCAATTCACAACAAGTGTTACCCCAAGACACAAAAAAGTTAGTCTAGACCAGACTACGTTCGCAAAGAGCCGAGGTAAAGATGGGATAAAACTGAGAGATGGACAGAGATGAGTCTGATACACAAAAGCAGGCAGGTCCATGGTAGCAGGACGTCTGCAGCAGCAATCCAGAGGAACCTACGGCATGATGGAGCTCAGGGACTCCCAGAAAAGACCATGTATTTGTGACTCTAATAGGACATGATGATTCAAAGCTAATGACAGAGGTTGGAGAAGGAGGGAAAGGTGCTTAAAGTGCCTGTATCCCCAGCAATATTAGCCCAGGCCTGAACCAGATCTGACGACAAGCTTTATTAATAAGGAGAAATAACAGCATTAGCTTTTAAAGGATCTATGTAACACACTGTACGGCTCAGCTCAAAACAGCATGTGAACCTTTATCAAGTCAGTTGAAATATAATCCAAACTTTAGTATGGTTTTACACATTCAAAATGCTGTTTCAAGACTAAGACAAAAACAGTGATAGTACTTTTTACCATGAGAAGAGCAAATAATAACAGTCCTCACATATATGAGTGAAAAGGCTTCAATTAAGATGGAGTAGAAAACATCTGCTCTGATCTTTTTATAACCATTCACACCATCGTATTTCCATATGTGCTGCATGAAAAACCTCCATGGGACAAGCTGTGAGGTGAGTCTCTCTTCTCGTTACCTCTCGTTATATCTGTTACCGATTATGCTAATTAGACCTGATAGCAGAGAACCTATAGAGATAGATATAGGTCAGGAAATGACCCCGGGTCTGCTACTTGCTGACTTACTTGTATGTGTTTGTAACAGACTGCTCCAGTTTACGAGTTAAATGTAATCACACTGGGGAGTTACTTGATTCTTGCATGTGTGACTATTCAGATTTTGCAACTGGCTTCAATTACATCTATGAGGTGCAGCTGCAATTCACAGGTGATTTAGCTCCTTTAGTTTAGCTTTTTCCAACCTCCTTTTGTATGTTCTGATGAATTAATAAGGCAGGTTATAATATCTTTCAGTATAAGTTAATAATCAGTACTTATATTTATAATCTCATCTTTTAATTGAGACCTTTGAATTGATTTATATTCATTGAAAAATTTCAGAACCTAAAAATCAACATTTGAGCTAACTGCTTCTGCTGTCCAGTCTTGTGGGTCCCATGAAGCAACTTTACACCTTGATAAAAGTCACACCATGTTCCTTTAATCGTTGCACATGTGCACAAACTGTCAGAGTTTTAAAAAAAAAAGGTAAATTAATGAAAATTGGTGGTTGGTTGAAAAATGGCTAAATATGTGTCCAAAGTGTTGTTACATTTCACCAAAGCAAAAAATAGGTAATAAGAGGTTTCAAATTGATCTTCCTAAATGGGCTCTATGCACCAATCCACTACATCCTGAATTTAAGGCAGCTCCTTTATTTCCTGTCTTACATCAGTAAGTATACCATTCTGGTACGCGCTATGGTAGCTGACGGGAGCTGAGTAATCTGCATGATCAAAAACACTTTTAACTCGCTAAAATCTTTTTACAGATGGTTTTGTTTATTACAGACCTAAATAACGTGGCTCTGAGTCGGGATGCTTGGACATGTTGAAATGGCAGATTTACTTTGAGAAAAAAAAAAAGACTTAATCATGAAGCACAGTTGTTTCACAGCTATTTGCGCGCAGGGGCGAACTTTTGAGTTGCTTTTCACAAGTTGTCAAGGCTGAGACCACAATCAAGGATTTATCTATCTATTTATTGTCTAAGTGACAGTCTTTGTGTTTATCAGCTGTCAGAATCACTGTGAGTGAGACCAAGTACATATTACATAGTTGACTGAGCAATTTTACGTCAGTTGTAGAGGCAGAAATGCTCTTTTGTTTCAACATAACTTCAGTTGCACATGATTTCCAAACTGTTTGGTTTGTTAAAAACATCTAAAATGGCAACATGAGACAGAAATTTATATCAAAAATAAATACTTATATATGTTATTGCTATATTTTATTATGGTTAGCCCTATAATAGAAATAATACTAACATACATGGAATGGTTGGATGTTTTATGATTTAATATAACTGCCTTGTGTGTGTAGGCCTATTTATTGCTCTATTTGCTTAATGTTTATTTATGAAAATCCATGGTTAAAATTATTCTTCAGTATACAGGAACATAACTACAACTCTGAGGTTTGTTACAAACCAAACCGTTTGAAAATAGGTTCAATATTAACCAATCTATGGTTATTTAAATGCTACATGCACCATAGACTGTAATGTTACGAGTGGGCGAGCGTCCCGTACTAAAATGGCCGCCAGGCGCGGACGTCGGTCTCTATCGGCTAACAGCGTGCGTAATCCAGCTCGCGTTTGTATATATGATTGTGACTGTTCAGACACACCTGGATTAATCAGTTTGTCCAGTAATGTAAAACAGCCAATAAAGAGTCTGCCTTAAATTCAGGAAGTAGTGGAGCTGTGCATTGAGCCCTTTATGGCATATAGGCTACGGGAGAATAAAACCTTCGTGGCCGAAATTCGGTAGCTTACCTTTAACGCGGCTTGAATCAACTTTGTCTGAGCTGCTGCTGGTGGTGCTGCCATCCTCCTCTTCACCCAACCAGCCGAGGTAAGCACAACCACATTTAAGACCAACTCCCGTGTGTTAAAAAACACGATTCAGCGGTAAAATCTACGTTAAAATTGTCAACAAAACCATAAAGCTGGTTAGCTAACGAACCGAGGTAACGTAGGACTACGCTGTGAGGCGTTCAAGGTCGGTTCGGTAAAACGAGAATTAGGCGAAAGTGAATAATACCTGATCGTGATGCGTTTAAAAAACTGTTTTTGGCAAATAAAATAATAAACGAAATAGAAATCCTCAAATTTTTTAGAAGATTTATATACTATTTAGTATAAAGTACCTGTTACAGAAGGAATATAACCAGTTTAACCTCCTGACACAAGCTCCAATTAAATCCACCTCATTCTTGAAGGCAAAAATTTCACATCTTGTTCAGAAACAGTCATTTCCAGGATTGGATCGATATTTTCATCTTGTCTTTCCACCAACTGACAAAGAGGACTGATACCGGTATCTCTAAGGACTCGACTCACTGAGGGGTCTCTATAATTGTATCAGTATTAATAGAAATTAAGGGCATCCCTAGTTTTTATG